ATGTGGAGTCTCCAGGAAGAACAGAGCAACCTGTAGCAGGTGTCCTGTGGGCCAAAAGGCAGCAGCTGCTGCTGCTGGCAACCATGTACACAATTTGTGGCATTTCAGGAGATAGTCTTAAAAATTTTAGGACTATTCCTGTCAGTTTGAATATTGTTTCAGGGGACAATTAGTTTGAAAAATCATGTTTTGGCACCAAATAGGGCAGCATATGCATTAGGCTGTTTTCCTAAGTGTGGCATAAGTATAGAAACTTTTTTACGACTGTATTTAAAATGTCTCAAGAGACTAATCACTAAGAAGTTAGTAGTCTCATCAAGTGTGGCATGTTCCTATATTCCCAGCAACTCAGAAGCTTGAGGCAGGAGGATTGCAAGGCAGAGGCCAGCCTGGGCAGTTTATCCAAACTGCCTAACAAGAAAAGGGAGAGGGCTAGGCATGGTGGCTCACACCTATAATCCCAGGGAGGCTGAGGTGGGAGGATTGTTGGGAGCTCAAGGCCAGCCTGGACTGCATAGCAGTACCGGTGGTAGAGTACCTACCTAGCATGACCAAGGCTTTAGGTTCCATCCCCAGTACCATTAAAAAAAATCTTTATAGTCTTTAAATGGACATGATGCTGGACATGGTTCCGTATCACCATGAGTTTATAAGTTCCAGTCAGCCTGAACTGCATCATGAGACCCTGTCTCAAAAGCAGACAATAATAAATAAAGTAAATGGACATGATTCTGTTACTTCCATCACGTAGAGTGGGAGTAACTAAATTTTCAAATGTATAATAATTATAAAGTTATGGATCACTAATACTTAAAGTTTTTAAAAAATAATATGTAACTAAAATTTTTGGAAGGTATGTTTTACTTAATGTGTAAAAATTCGTTCTGGCAGCTGAGTCAGGGAATTTGAAGGTAACTGTGGAGAAGTGTTTGAAGTTTCTTGACATACAGCATAGATGGTATTACTGCGCTTTGGGATGTCTTAAAATAGTAGAAATAGCAGCCACAATCCTCCAGGAGTGTTCCATGCACCCCCCCCTCCCCCGAGGTCCCCAAAACTGTTTTGAGCTAAGAGATCAAAACTTTCCACAATAATAGTCTAGCACAATAGTTCTTCCCACTGGAGTGACGTTTGCACACATGTGAACAGAGGTACTCTGCTCCTCCCAGGATGCAAGGGGCCTTTAAAATACTGTGTGCCAGTTTCTGTTTAGGAATGAATGTTCTTGATGAAACAGAAGTATTTCATTGTATCTTAACCCTCAAGTGTAAGGTTAACCTTCTCTCTGAGGAAATGACAAGTGCCCCCAAAGTACTCCAGCGTCTCCGTGGATCACTTCCCTAGGAGGAGCCCTGGGAGCCAGGTCTAGGAGCTGGGCCAGCCATCTTCTGGAAAGAGCAGACTCACCGCAGCTTTTAGCTCAGTATTTGGCAAGCATTTTCTCCAAAATGAATGTCGAGAAAAGCAACTACAGTATTTGTTACTCAAGACAAAATTTGCACTTTGAAGCAGAAATTAGAATTTTGGGAAAATTATATCTACCACTTTGAGTCCAATAACTTCCCAATAATTAAACAGTAACTTCTGGTACGATCTGAGCTGACATTAACAAATGTATTTCTTTGCTATTTTCCCCTTCACACTCAGTGGACCAGTATTCCCTGAATGATGTACAAAACATACATATAAAAGATGTACTCACCATGCAAGGCAGACTAGAGAGTTTTAATGTAAGAAAATAAAAACCATTGATCTAGTTGGAGATGCCATGCTGCAATTGACTTACAAAACTGTTATTTATGCTTTCAGTTTCCAAAGGCAGGCCTGTGTGAGACTGGGCTGCTTTCATATATGTCAACCAGAGCCGCACATGCAGTCATACAGTGCAGAAGCACATAGGAAAATTCACCTATAGTAGAGATTTGCAGAATATGAAACAGCACCATTCTGTTTTTGTGCTTTGCCAGGCAGTCGCTTAGGGTACTGAGCTAAGTCCCTGGCCCAGCAGCACCACCCTTGACATTTGTTCATTCATTTGCTTGCTTGCTTGCTTGCTTGTTTGGTGGGGTAGTGTTGAGGATTGGACCTGGGCCTTCATACTGAGGAGCTACATCACCAACTTTTTAAAATTTTTATTTTGTGACAAAGTTTCACCAAGTCTCTTAAATTGCCTAAGCTGGGCTCAAACTTGTTACCCTCCCAGGATGCTGGGGCTATGAAGTTCAAAGGATTTGTTTTTTAAATAGATATATTAATATTTAATTCTTCAAATACCAGTAGATATATCTCACCTAAATAAAAGCCCTTTGGGATTCTCAGACACACTGCCCACCCTTGAGTCCTTTTTTATTTTTTAAAACAGACTTGCTAAATTGCCGGGGCTAGCCCCTCCCTCTTGTGATCCTTCTGCCTCAGGTTTCCAGTTAGCAGGGATTAGAAGCCTGCACCAATGTACCAGATTCTCAAATTTAAAGAATATGAGCCCCAAGACCAAGAGGTCTGAGACCTGCACGTGAGAAGTATGATAGCAGCACGTTCTGTTCTTGGTGCGCTTGTCAGCCATGCTGTTGGCATTAAGTCCCCTGGCAGGCACCATTGGGAGCAGAGCTGTTGAGCAAAGTGGGTTTGTCTGTGTGCGTTTTTCAGACTAAAAGTTCACAGCATTATCCCTAATTCTAGTCAAGTAGGAACAGTTTTTAGGTATGAGGAAGTAATGTGCTTAGAAATGTTTTTCAAAACTTGTGTGTTCAGTACATTTGGGGTTAAACTATAGCCCATTCACTGTCCAAGCATACAGAGGCCCCTTTAGGTCTTTCTGCCTGGAGAGAGGCTGGTACTACAATGATAGAGTTACAGTTTTGTGACCACATTTCTCATGTAATATGCTGTGCAGTGTTTAGAATTACACATTTGGTTGTGTTAGAAACTTGGCACAATATTTTCTTTTTGCCTTACACATGTATTTTACTTCGATGTTGTTTGTTTTTTGAGATAGAATCTCATGTAAAGGCAGGCCTTGAACTGTCGCTCAAGCTCACAGCAATCTTCCTGCTTCAGCCTCCTAAGTGCTGGGATTACAAGATTGTACCACCACACCTGGGAATATACCTGTTATTATTTCACAAGCTAACTAAAATTGTTTGATATTTTTGTACTGGTGAAATCATAAAGTGAAAATTTTGCAGATGTAGATTGATCTCACCTGTTCCAAAAGTCCTGTCATGCTACTTAACAGAAATAACTTTTTTTTTCTAGGTTAATTTTCCAGAAACTATGTTGAGAGAAACCTTTATTTTTCTGATTAGCATATACATTGATATCCCACCCCACTACCTCTATTTTCCCCCTGTGCTGAGGATCAAACACAGTACCTGTGCATGCTAGACAGGCACTGCCCCACTGAGATACATCCCTAGTCCTAAATTTTTTCAAAATGGATTTTCATTCTTAAGAATATTTGTTTTTACCAGTGCTGAGTATTATGAAATACAAATGTTTCTAGTTTTCTTAGAGAAGTGGTTTCTGAACTCTTGAAGTAGTTATTTTGAAGATGGGTTCCCTGCATGGATGAGATGATGTTACTATGATGGCATCTTGTGGATGGATAATCACAGTGAATACTGAGGTCTGCAGATCACTGTTCCTTTAAAAGAAGAATGTCTCACTTGTATTGGGTCACCAGAGAAAGGGACGTTAAAGAGGGAAAGGAAGAGGTGAAATACCAGGTTCTGCTAAGGAGAGCGTGCTCTAGGGCCACTGTGCTGAAAGAGAAATATTTAGAGCCTGGCTAGAAATGGGAATCTCTCTCCCCTCCTCTTTTGTTGAAACAAAGGAATCTTGAGTTAGTGTTAAGTAATGATTGAGGTGGTGTTAAGAATCTTAAAGTAAATATGTACATAATTTTGTTACTCAGTCTTTTTGCTTTGTGAATGTGTTCTCCAGGCAGTGCTGGGTTTCCTTGAGGGGGATCCATCTCCTTGAGCCCCAGTTTCTCAAAGCTGCTGCCTGCCTCCCCTGGACTAGCCAGAGACTTGGCACTCCTCTGCTGGCAGACTGGCCTGCCACTTGAGTGTGCTAGTCTTAACGTGCCACTGGGGCTGAGTCCTTAAAAGATCCTACTAGGAGCGTTTTCCTGACTCTTGGGCTGTCTTTGTAGGTCACTGCAGTAAGCGGTCACTTGGAACGTTTGTTCTGTTGTTTTTCTTCATTATTGTGTGGTTTAGTTCCGTATCTAAAAGAGCTATTATTGTAATCCTTTTTCTAGTTTTCCTCACAATCCAAAAGGTTATATTTGTAATCCCATTGAGACGTTACTGGAATCCCAGCAAATTAATTCCAATCTGCCACCTCCAATGCAACCCACAGGGAGAGTAAAGACACATTCCAAGTGAAGGGCAGCCCAGGGGTCCAATCCCTGTGAGGATGTGCAGACAAAGACCCTGATCCTAGGCCTCTTGCAGAATTTATTATCTTGAATAAAGGGGGTGGCTCAGGGATGAATGACAGTGAGGATGGTGGGAATTCTGTGAGTAACTTGAGCTGGCTAACCAGGTAGGGAGAAAAGCATTTCTGCAAAATGCAGAGATAAAGATATGCAGAAGGACAATTTTTATAAATTAAGATAGCAACTGAATGGTTTTAGGAGGCTGTTGCTTCTAGTTTCTGAAGTGGTAAACTCTTGTGCCCTGGAGAGTCATAGCCTCTTTGCCTTGAGGCTCATACCCAGTTGACATTCCTAGAGCTAATGGCTCTAACATCCCGCTGTGCTCACACTTTTTACTGAGAGCACTATTCGAGTCAGCTCAGCTCACCTTATTTGCAATGCTTAGAGCCAATTGAAGAGAGAAGGAAATACCATAGCCAGGTCACCACATATCAGTATAAGGAAATGAGTCTCTAAATAATCAAAGTTGCAGCAGTTATTTTGCATTCAAGGGGAGTCACTGGAGTTGTCTCCCACATGCTATAACATGGCTCTAACATGTTTTCTTTTCCTGTAGGGGCTCAGTCCAGGAGCAGCCTTCAGACTGTTCTAGGTTGCTGGAAATTTGAATCCTTTAACTCGTGAGTAGCAACCAACTGCTGCGGTGTGCTGAGACTTGGCCGGCCAGCGGTGGGACCAAGAAGCGGCATCAGCCAGGTTTTGTGTTGTATTTAGGATTTCAGCAGTGTCCAGGCCATCAGTGATAAGGCAGGTAAAGCACCAGTGCTGTTAAATAGTAGTAACAGAGTGTTAATTTCCTACCAAAGTAGCATTCTCTGTAAATAAGATCTTCTGTAGCATTCTCAATACTACACGTGTTAACTCAAAGTGACTGCATGAATATGAAACTGTCTTGTTAGGAATTTGAGTCGGTGCTTTTTCATTTTACCATTGGTTATTTTTCGGGGCTTACATGTACGTATATTGCATAGTTTCTGATGAGAGCTAAGTATTGTAGAGAATTCTTCATAACGCCATCCCCAAGCTGCAGAGGTACGGCTTTTTCCCAGCCTTGCATGAGGTTCCTTAAGTCTTGGAGGTGGGGAACCATGCCCACATCCTGTTCTTGGTGAAGTATGGTACCAGCTCTGTAACTGCGTCTTGAGTTACAAGTTCAGTGTCCTGTGGAAAATAGGGCTTGACCTTTTTGCAGATGTTACCAGCTTTGTGTCTTCAGGGGTTAGTCATGTGGCTCAGGTGTGTGGCACCAGCTTAGTATGCTTGAGGCCCTGCGTGCTGTCCCCTTCACCAAGTGAAAAGTTTGGTATAAACTTGTTGGTTTTTATAAACAGAGAAAACATTTTCCTTAAAAAATGTAATCATTTTTTAAGTGAATGAATTAGCAATGATCAACTTGATTTGGTAACCACAAGGTTGTGTGTATCTATTAAGGAGGTGAGCACTGCTCCAGATTGCAAGTAGTTCGGCCCTGCTGACAGGGCCCCATCTGTCCTTGCTCTTTTAGAGTTTTTTTGTTTGTTTATTGTTCTTTGGTTTTTTTGGATACAGGGTCTTGCTATGTAGTTCAGGCTAGTCTCAAACTCACAGCGATCCTCCTGCCTCAGCCTCTTAGAGCTAGGATTACAGGCAGGCATTCCTAGGCCTGGCTTCTGTCCCTACTCTTGAAGTGCCCTGCCCACTCAGGTCCTCAGGTCCTGTGCAGCCTCAGGAGGTTGTTCTCTGACCTGGACTCCTATTAGCTCCTGTTACTTGAGTTGGGGTTCCCTTATGTGACCAAAGTGCTGGAGTCCTGGCCTCCTCGGCTTCTGATGGACCTTGGACTGTATGGGTTGAGATTTGGTGTGAAGAGCTCGTTCTCATGCACTGGCCATACCTGAATGACACAATGTACTAGGGAGAAAAACACAAGGTTACCATTTTAAATTTTGTATATTTTAAATTCAGTGGCTTTTTATTTTATACCAGTCCTTTCCTTAGAATGGAACATGGTATGAAATCTCAGCCGGGCTTGGTGGCTCATGCCTGTAATCCCAGCACTCGGGAGGCAGAGGCAAGAGGATCGTTGCGAGTTCGAGACCAGCCTGGGCTACAAAGTGAGCGCAGGCCAGCCTGAACTGCATAGCGAGACCCTGTCTCAAAAACAAAATAAAAAAAGAAAGAAAGAAATCTCAGAGTCATAATTAGTGTCTGTGTGTAACTAAAGCATGGAAAGCTTGGAAAAGAATTCTCCAGATACGTACTACCTTCAGTTTTATCACTAGAAACAAAAATAAAAATTTGGCACATGGCCTTAGTGATTGAGAAGAACATGAAGCAGAGGTAAATACTAAAGGCAGCACATGTCAGGCTTCCAGCTTGCAGTCAGGACTGGGCTCTCCATTTAATGGGGAAGAGTGTTCCACTCTCTGCCAACAGCTGGGCTGGAGACAGTGTCCCCCTAAGCCAGGGCCTGTGTGAGGGGACCCAGAGCTAGAGCGTTTAAGTCCTCTGGTAGCTACACACAGGAGTGGCACAGCACTATGTCCTCTGTGGTCATGGACACCACCAGACTGGCTACATGCCAGGGGCCACTAGATGCCACTCAAATGTCCTCCAGCCTCATTGTGGTAGTGGATTACGCACCCTTCATGGCCCGATTCATTGCTTCCTACGTGCTTGGTAGACCTTGGTCCTGAGAGTTAAGTGAGAGCATTGTACATTGGATTGGCTAGCTGGACTTTTTCCTGCTGAGCATTTGCTCTGTAGCTGAATTTCATGACTCGTCTGGAGCTGTCGAAACCACAGTCTAGGAAACAAGGTCGGAAACCCATCATTTATATATCGATCCAGTTTTGGGAGTAGAAACCGGTCCCATTTCAGAGCTGTTCGTATTTTCCTTGAGCAGGTGCCCCTCATGCGTGTGACAGGTGCCTCAGTGTGTGGGTCATGCTGTGATTACCTTTTACACTAGGGATGGACGACCCAGGGGACCAGAGCAATGAGGAAGCACCTAAGGCTATTAAACCGACAAGTAAAGAGTTCAGGAAGACGTGGGGGTTCCGGAGAACGACCATCGCTAAGCGCGAGGGCGCTGGGGACACTGAGGCAGACCCTGCCGAGCAGCAGCCACACAGCCTCTCCCTGCGCCGCAGCGGGAGGCAGCCAAAGCGCACCGAGCGGGTGGAAGAGTTCCTGACCACAGTTCGACGACGGGGAAGAAAGAATGTGCCCATCTGCCTTGAGGATCCTGGCGAGGCAGCATCCTGTCCTGTCACAGATGCGGAAAGTGCCTCGGAAGGTAGTGTCGAGAGCAGCTCTGAGACAAAAAGTGTCCCTGTACCTGCTTCCAAGCTGGGGAAGGAACGGCCAGCCTCTTCTAAAAAGGCCAAAGGAGGGGACGAGCAAGGTGACACCTCTGACAGTGACAGTGATGGGCTCACACTGAAGGAACTTCAGAATCGTCTTCGAAGAAAGCGAGAACAAGAGCCAGTGGAGAGGCCCCTGAAGGGCATCCTGAATCGCCTGAGGAAGAAGCGGCGAGAAGAGGACCCAGGTGACACCGCAGAGGGTGAGGTGGCTGGAAGCGGCCACGATGTGCCACCCTGTAAGCAGGAGTCTGAGGCTGGTGAGGGGCCTGTGAACCAGGCAGCAGAAGATGACAGAGAGAGTGACTCAGAGGGGACACTGGCTCAGGGACCCAGAGAGGAAGGCCCTGGGGACGGGGGCAAACCTAAGCCTGACAGCGAAGTTTATGACCCCAGCGCCCTATACTGCATCTGTCGCCAGCCTCACAATAACAGGTGGGTCAGAGTCATGGGAGGAAAGGAGCTGCTCACTTCAGAGAGAAGCCAGGCATAAGAGTGTGTGGGGAGACTTTTTCCATTGGTTTGGATATTAACAGATTCCCGAGCTGGGCTGGGTTAGCAGTTGTTTCGATTGTTAAAGGTTCCAGGTCAAGATGTGGTAAGAAACAGGTATAGAAAACGCTGCCTCTCACTGTCCTCTCCCTGGTGTCCTTTACATACTGAGGTCCAGTGGGGAATGAAGAAGGGCTCACTATCTCAAGTCACAGGAGCCACATGGACCAGCTGACTGCTGAATGGGTGGGAGAACCCTCTGCCCGCCTAGATCCTTATGGGAGGGCGATGCCTTGGCCAGTTCTGTGGGACCCAGTGTGCCTTGTGCTGGGGCAAGCTGGGTGCCAAGGGCTGCTGGGCTGAGGGCTTGTTGGGATAGTGTTATGCTTTTGGGTGGAGAAGTCTCTAATTCACTATTACAAACAGCGGTGAAACTAATACAATCAAATGAGAATTAAACTCAGTACTTTCTTACTTTACGCATAATAAAACGAAGCCCAGTTTGAGCTTGCGGTCCCTTCTCGTTACTTACTCTTTCATTTTCTCATTTTAGGTTTATGATCTGTTGTGACCGCTGTGAGGAGTGGTTCCATGGCGACTGCGTGGGCATTTCTGAGGCTCGAGGGCGGCTTCTGGAGAGGAATGGTGAAGATTACATCTGCCCAAACTGTACTATCCTGCAAGTGCAGGAAGATACGAGTCAAGGAGCCACTGATGAGCAGGAAGCTCTGTGCAGATCTGCAGCTCTGGATGGCACAGACTGCACCAGCATAGGGACAATAGAGCAGAAGTCTAGTGAAGACCAGGGGATCAAGGGTAGAATTGAGAAGGCTGCAAACCCCAGTGGCAAGAAGAAACTCAAGATATTCCAGCCTGTAAGTACTTGTTTACCCAGGTGAGCACGAAGGTGGGAGACCTTCCTGATGTTGGACTTGCCACTGGTGGAAGTGCTAAGACTGCGGGTGGATTTCTCTTTCTTTGAATAAGTTAGGTTTCGCTGGCCCGCGCCGCGCATGTACCAGTGTGATCTGGGGTGCGCCTGTCAGAGAAGAGCGTTCTGTGCTTGAATTCTCTCTTCATGCATTCTAACAGTGCATTTTTAAAAAGACCTTTTTGACCTCCTAACAATTCTTAGCCTATTTTTAAAGAACTTACCTTTCTGTAGGTGTTCTTGGTGAAATACATGTGGGCAGAACATTGTTGGTCCCTGTATTCGATACGTTATTTCTCTTCCGGCCAGCTCTTTCTTCATTTTCCTTCCTGCCTATTTGGATGCTTCTCTGAAGCCATGGCACTGTCACATTTGCCACCATCAGCTGTCTCATGCATCTCCAGCTGTGTGAGGGGCTGACTCGGCCTCCCCGGGGCCCTGGATCCCGGGCCGGCCCCCATCCTGTCCTCCAGCAAGTTGTGGAGATGGCTATATGTGGCTATATATCAATATCTTTATATTGATACTCTCAGCTGTGTGAGTTGTATCACCATACAACTGAGGATCTGAGGACTTGGCCATGTTAAGCCATGTGTTGGCATGTTTAAGAGGGAAGACATAAAAATGGGGGCTTCACTGATAATGCCACATTTACCTGGGAAGTCATCAGTTTCATATCTTTATTGCCAGTGTTTGACATAAAGCATGTATGTTACTCTAGGTAAAACTTCACTTCAGTAGAGGAAAATGATTATGCTATGTTTAACTGTTTTGCTTGAGTATATTTAAGGGATGGGCCCAGTGCATTTAATCTTGATCTTCAAACATACTGGAGTAGTGCATACTGTTGTCCTTGTTTGCTATTGCTGTGTAACGATCAGCACATGCACAACGTAAGGCCGCATGTGTTGAGGCTCCAGGTATCCCTGGGTCAGAGCCTGGCCCAGCTGAATTTGCTCGGGGTCTTCCAAGATTTTGGTCAGGATGCAGCTAAGCTTATGTGGACTTGTCATTGGGTCTGCTGGAAACGCTTCCCTCCTAGAAGCTATCACCTTACTTAATGTTTGTCCCTTGCAATTTTGGTGGCATAGAGCTAATAAGTTATTCGTTGATTACCTGAAACTTAGATGAGCATCCTGTGTTCCATTTGGCAACCTTCTCTCCTATCCTAACAATGGGTGACCCCACTCTCAGGGCAGCTTATATTATACCATGCCAGTAAAAAGGTCCCTCTTGAAGAATTCCCTTCTGGTGGGAAAGGCCCAGTCCTTTTAAAGAAATTCTATCTGATTTTAAGTCTGACCGTCTTGACTCAAAATAATCTCACTGGAACCTTCATATTTGTTCCCTGGTGGAACCAGGTGTTGTCTCCTCAGCGGTGTTTATACTGAAGGGAAAGAAGTGTAAATGTGCAGAGCATGTGAAACAGGCTTAGTGTCTGCTCAGTAAAGAGTGGTAAGAATACTCTGTTACTGTCGGCAATCTCTTAGCTAAAAACCTCAGCCTTGGGCACTGTACGTGGTGACACATATTTGCAACTGTAGCACTCTTACTGGACTGAGGTAGGAGGATCACAACTATGTCCCCAGTCTGGGAAATTAAGCATCTTTGGGGGACCTTATCTCAGTAAGTACAGAAAAGGACCAGGATATAGCTCAGTACAAAGGCTCAGAGTTCATTTTTCATACCTGGAAAAATAAAAACCTTGCTTTGTTATTGCCAGTAGTACCATGAAAAAGTGCTTTCATGCTGGCATTGGTACATCCATTATTTGAAGTCATTTATTTGCCTCTGCAGGTCATAGAACCTCCTGGCGCCTCAAGGTGCATCGGTCCTGGGTGCTCCAGTGTGGCGCAGCCTGAATCCGTGTATTGCAGTAACGACTGCATTCTCAAACATGCAGCAGCTACTATGAGAAATCTAAATTCAGGTAAAGAACAAAAACCAAAGCCTAAGGAGAAGATCAAGACAAAGCCAGAAAAACTCAGTCTTCCAAAATGTAGTGTGCAGGTAAGCTGATCAAGGTTGCTATTAAAGCTTTAAAAGGAAAAAGTACCTTACAGTACTTTCCTATGTGCCTCTCGGTAGTCACTGGAAGAGTTTAGGACCCAGCAGGTAGTAATGCCATGGTCTTCTGCCATTAGCCTAGGACTTACTTAACTTGAATGCAGCAAAGCAACATAGGCAGCCAGCTGGCCTGGAGGAAGTAAGACATCAGGATACACACCCAGGTCTGGCCAGTTGTGGCTTTGTTTTGTGTACAGAGTTCAATCACAGGGCAGTTGGGGTAGGACAGGCTCTTGGCAGGGTTGTGCTTGGTATAAGATAGTTCTCAAAACTGCCTCTTTTTTTCTGTTCTTTGTGATTTGGGAAAACCAGGCATGTCCAGAAATCAGAAGGCTTTGCATTAATTGGGCAGTTATCTGTGAGGCTCATCTGGAGATGCCCACCAGTGACTCACCTTGTTTGGGACATGCTGTCCCATAAATCTCTAGTTCATTTTCAGGTGCTTGTTAGGCTTTATGTGACTCGATTTATAAGGCCGGTCATTTTGAATCCTCGAGCTGTCTAAGCAGTGACTGGTGCACACAGCAAGGGGGCAGCATGGCTGAGATTGTTGAGACCCTGCCTCCATATCCAGATTTTAGACCTCACTGAGGACCAGATGTATCATTTGTCTCCTTTCCTTTGCAAGTACCTGCCCTCCCCATCTGGTGCTCAGCACCTGCTCACATTTGCACATAGGCCCTTTCCACCATGTGCTGATTTGATTCTCTGCCTCACATTTTGTTGTATCTTGGCACTTATAGGCCAACAAGGTACACAAAACATCATTTCAGAACCATTTTATGCCCGAATAGTTAAAATGGTTAAAATGCTGCTTGCTCTTTGGGGCTTCATCCACTAACAGCTGCAGAGTACAGTCCCTGGATCAGTCAGGAAGTGTCTTAGGGTGACCTGAAAAGGAGAGTGTTGTGACACTCACTGCTCTGTGAAAGGAAGCGAAGGTGTCATTTCTGACCTGCTTAATGATTAGGTTTTCACTAATTATCCAGGCAGGGATTAAAATCTCCTCTGTACACAAGAGACCAGCTCCAGAGAGAAAAGAAAACACGGCGAAGAAAGTGATGGTGACTCCTCCTAGGAGTGACACATTGGGGAAGGAGGCGGCCTGTGAGAGCAGCACACCTTCCTGGGCCAGCGACCACAACTACAATGCAGTGAAGCCAGACAATACTGCTGCACTCTCCCCACCACGGTTCTGTAAATGTAGGTATCCCCGAGGGTTTGACCCTCTGGTCCCTTCTCACCCTCTCTGGATAGCTACCTGGAGCTAGACAGGGTGGGGACACCCAGGTCACCACCAGCTGGAAGCAAATGCCCCATGCTCATCATGCCTTCAGAGCCTGGTTGTTCACCCTTGGCCTATGGCCATTTTTCTTGGTGTTTTCCAAAGAGCTGCATGAGCCTGCTGATAAATGGCTCTCCATGGTGGTACAGTCCTTTAATATCTAGCTTCAGTCAAGATGAGGCTCTGGTAAGTACTTTGTATTGTTTTCAGCAAAATCAGATTGCATCTTTATACTTAGCCCCATCTCCAGATTCAGCACTGTTGAAACACCAACTAGTTTAATCACAACCATGCATAGAACTTGAGTTTTTCAACATTATTCCTTTTTTGCACATAAAGTCAGCACTACTTTAGTATGTGTGGGCATCTGCACATTAGTCTTACATCAGGTTCTTTGGCACAGCTTTTTGGGAGTTCACTGAATTTTTGACGTGACAGGGAAAGATTTTTCTTCCTGTCTAGTTCACATGCTACTCACCCACATAAGTAGACATTGAAACCTTTTCAAAGGCCATTTGTTGTCACTGTGCAAACTCTACAGTGAGTGAAGCTCTATTGGTGACACTGAGAAATTCATAGGCTAGTGTCACAAGGGTGGTGGCTTCCTGGCTGTGTTCTGGAGTGTTTAAACTGCTGACCTGCCTCTGGTTTTGAGTGAATGAAACGAAGACATTTGGGTCCATGTGTGAAACTCCAGCTTAGACCATACAACCCGGATCTGTTTCTCAGCCTCATACGCCGAAGATAAATCATAATCATAGACCCTTACATTAGGATCCATAGGAATCATCTTTGATTTTTATGTGTTTTTATTAATGCCCCCCCCCTAGTTCATTTTGTTTTTGAAGGCACCAATAGATTAAATATCCCTGGATTCCAAGAGTACAGCTGTACTGTTATTTTCCTTTCTTTGGGCCTTTAGCATGTCACATGGGAGGAAGGTGCTGATGCAGGTAGGTGCCAGATATCATGTGCTTAAGTACTTGAGATCTCAAAAGTCCCAAGAAAGGAAATGGAATCACAACTGAGTTGAATGACCCAACTGCAACATTGTGGTGGACTTTATACACCTTAGAGAGGTTCAGGATCAAACACAATGCTAGCAGTTGAAGTGTCAAGTTCGAGCATCAAGTTAGATAGAGCAGTTCTAAGATGGTAACATTTATAGAGCCGACAGGTACACTGAGAAAGGAGTGGCACCTGCGTGTGAAGGGTAGCGAGCAGCCGCTTGGTAGGTAATAGGGGGTTAACTGCTGTAAGTTGAGGATAGGCACATAAGAATGCAAGAAAGAAACACCAAGGGTTTAACCACAACCCAGACACCTGGGTGACAGATTTCAGTCCAACTCACCCCTGTCCATTCAGAACGGAAAACCATCCCTGAAGCTCCAAGGCGGTGTTGCGGAGACACCGTGTGCTGAAGAGGGCACACTGGTGATGAAGATGGGGAAGTGGGCTCCACAGGCTGTTGCTGTGTCCTGTACACACAGGGCAGAGGGACTGAAGAGCTGGGGGCATGGATGGGCAGCCAGTTGCTGTGCAGAGGCGGGAGATTGGGCTTCGGCTTTGACTTTTCCTACCTCTTCTGCACACTGGCTCTTCCAGTGGCGCTCATAGACTCCAGGGGCAAGTGGCTGGGCTCAGTGAACAAGTGGACAATCTTCCCAGCACACACATGTCTCAAATTTAAAATCAATGGAGCTCCAGACTACAGCATGCGAAAGGGACATATTTGGAGCTGGTTGCTCCCGAGAAGTTCTCTTTTCCTGGAAATGTCGTTTTCTCTAACATTGGGAGGTCAGTAGAGGGATTGGTAAAGCAGTCCAAATAGCATTACCGTGTCTCTGCCTCTCTTGTCCCAGGCATTTCCTCACCTTTGGGGCACAAGCGCATGATCCCCAGACTCGGATGGACAGGGTGGGGTGGGAAGTACACACTGTCCTTGGCCCTGTCTCCCTAGCTCACTACAACTAGGGCAGGATGGGGCGGTGAGGCTCGGAAAAGGGGACTCGGGGGCGCTTCCAGTCCACTTTCTTGGGAGCTGATTCACCTTCAGCTCCATGTGTCCAAGAAGAACCACATGGCAGAGCCGAGCTGCCACAGCTGCTGCTGGAGGTGCCTCAGCTGTCTCCTGCCTGCACATCCCTGGTGCCACCATCAGGGTGGACTCAGGCAGTGTGCAGATCTGCTGCACAAGAAGCTCTGCTGTGCCTTCCCAATCTCCAGGTGATGCAGTTCACACATAGGCATGCCTGTGATTTGTTCATTGGCATTGTTTTCTAGGACTTAATGTATTTTTGGAGTTTATGCAAACCAGCAGCGTTTTGTTTCTTGTAAGGAAATGTTTGTAATTGTTCCATGCCATATATAAGTGGAATTTAGATACTTATGGGCATAATTTAGTGTTTGGGGTTCCCTAAATGGATTATTAGTTCACATAAAACACAGGGATCTGCATAGATTTTAATGGGAAAACATTTCAGCTATGTGAGAATAAAAAGGAAAATCAGAACCATGTTTAGGTCTAGCTCCCAGCCGTACCCAGGTAGAGGAATTTTATTGCTGATAACCACACAGATGGTCCTGGTAGTATGGTACAGAGAACATAGGTTTCTACGGGGTTACGCGGGGTGTGGGCTCCAGCACACGTTTCATTGAAATACAGGAACCAGTTCCATATGCTAAGTACCTAGGGGTACTAGAAACTAAGATTTCTTAGAAATCTACAAATGATACTTTGGTTGTTAAATATCATAGACATTTTTTCAAGAGATGTCACTGGCAATAAATTGAGGGTAAGAATATCAAAGCCGATCTACCATTAGAATGAAACAGGATTTTGTACAGATTAAATGAATTACTTGCTAACTATTCATATCAGTATAGCTGGAACCATCTTGGTTGTCAGCATGACATCATTTTGGTAAAATGTGTTACCTTTTCATAGTTTTAAAGAAAATAACCTGGGGCTGGGGATTTAGCTCAGTGGCATAAGCGCCTGCCTTGCAAGCACGCAGTCGTTAGTTCGATTCCTGGTACCGATAAAAAGGAAAAAGACAAAAAAAAAAAAAAAGAAAACCCATTTAGAAAATTAGGTCACTTTGTAGACTTAAACCTGCCTTGTGGGTCCCCTCAGCACCATCCTGCACTATCCTCCAGTCTCCTGCAGCAGCCCTGACCTCCAAGCCCTTTAGCCTCTGTGTTCTTCAGTTTCATCAGGAAATGGGTGAAGGAGGGCAAGTTTCCAGTGGGGTTGGTCTGTGAATTCATCAGTCAGTGACCTGCAACCTTTCGGAGCTGTGGATCTGCTCTGTTACTTCCTGAAGATTCATACTCATGGAAAGCTGGATAGCACTGCAGGTGTCATCCAGTGCAAGAGATCCCCTCTGAAGATGCCTGCTATAGTTCCTCACTAGCTTCAGGTATATTTGTACAAATTTGTGAAATACTTAGGATTTTGTCACTGTTAACCATCAACATGCATCTAGTTAAGTCCTTAATTTCTGAAAATTAGCAAAGTATACTGAGAAGATTGGTAGAATATTGCCCTGAAATAGTTGCCCTGACAGTTGGGGCAACTATTTTGCCACAACCCTGGAAGAGCTTGGCAAGGAAAACAAGGTAACGGGCAGCATACTCCTCACATAGGGTGTACATCAGGTATCATCTGTGGTTTATTGCCTTTGAGTCTGACCCTTTGAGGTTTTGGGGGAGGGTAAACGGACTGTTTTAACATGCTGCTCCTCTCTGTGGTAATAAACAATTGAGCATAATGAAATGATGTTTCTTAAAGTTTAACATTACTAAAGTAGTACATCCTGGTGATTGGAAGATTGAGAAACAGCTGACCACCTCCCCGTGAGTCTTGGGTTTGGCAGCAGAATGCACTGGGCCTGTGGCTGGGCAGACAGTGAAAGAGAAGGAGGCCTCATCCTTATCGCAGGCCACTGAGTGGCTCGCTTTGAAGTGTAACTAGACCATGTGTGTGTGTTGCCAGCACAACCTGAAGCCTGCTGTTTTACTATGCACGATAATGCATGTAAAACTTGAACAAAGGAAAGTAATTAGAGACTTTTTTAATCCAGGGTTCTTATGTAGGGTTAGGAATCGTCATTAAACTAGAAACAAGGGGCTGGGGATTTAGCTCAGTGGCATAAGCGCCTGCCTTGCAAGCAGGCAGTCGTGAGTTTGATCCCCGGTACCGATAAAAACAAAAAAGACAAAAAGAAAAAAATAAATAAATAAATAAACTAGAAACAAAAGTACTGGGAAACAAAATTGCCTGGGAAAGCTTTTTCATACTATGGATGTCTACAAAAAACTGGTCAGAATGGCCGTCTACCCAGGAGCTTCTGCCCTGTAACCTAGTCCATGTGTTCGTGCTACTGCAGAATAAAAGCAGATTAGTAATTTACACTTGCAAGAATAATTCCCTCGAAAGTTATGGTAGGAACAGAAGCAAAACGTTTTCTCGTACCTGACACCTTCATTTTTCACAATAGGAAAGATCCTAACACTGAACAAAGAACTGAGAATAAAATTGTGTGCTGTGCGTGGCCTCAAGAGCAGAGTGCTGTGTGTTGTCTGAGGGGATAGGTGGCCAGTAGTCACTGGCAGGAGAACTAGGCAGCTAGGAGGGTGTCAGCACCTGATGGGACAGAAAGCCCCAGTCACAGCCTAACGGTTTTAACCAGTTTTGCCTGTGAAGACCCCCTGGGGACTGACTGACCAGTCGTGGGTGTTTGGGGCAGTTGGGCTATGTAGACTGTTGTGCATCTTTTCAGGGGCTCTGCCCCCTCATCCTGCAGCTTCCATCTGGGCAATTGCATGGGTTCTGAAAGAAAAAAAAAAAAAACACGTGATTCTTCAGGGGAGACCAGATTTTCTCCACCCTTGTCCCTGTGCGGCCTGCTAGTGCCACCCAGTGGCTAGCGGTGGTATAGAGCCCCGTCAACCCTCCCGTGTGAGACACCTAGTTACAGCACAATGCTGGTCTACGCACAGCGACGTGCTGTGATGGGCTGAACCGCAGACAATGGGATTTCCAAACAAATGGCCAAACCTGGCTGCCCCCTGAAGCAGTACATTTCTTCCCTACAAGCATAGCAGAGGACATGAGCTAAAGGAGGCTGTGCTGGCATAATGGTTCCGCTGCAGGAGGGTGGAACATGGGAGGGAACTGGGCATTGCCCCTTGGTGCATGCTGGGTGCTGCTGGACAGTGCCACTTGCACAGGCCCAGTGCTGACCAGAGAGCAGCAAGTCAGGTGACTCAGATTCTGGCTTCATGCTCTGGATAGTTTACTGCTATTTTTATGAAAGGGTTGAGGGGTTAGTCAACTCCTGCCTTAAGTTTACATAATACTGTAAACGAAATTGGGGTCTGAGTGTTGAGGTTCACTGGCAGACAACTTTGCCTAGAACACACAAGATCCTGGATTCTGTTACCAGCAACGAACACAGTTCTGATGAAAATATTGGAAATTCCTTTCCAGCTTTACCCAGAAGATTGTCATTGCAGTTGTAGCAGCAGCTGACCCAGCCTGGTGCCAGCAGTATGGTTTCCACTCAGGGACAGAGATGTGTGAGGACCTAGAGCTGTGTGGAACTGTGTTTTAAATACCTCTGAAATACAAGAGGGCTTGGTACATCTTGCACACTACTAGCAGGTGAACTTGAGGCAGATTTGTCGACATCCATCAGTAAGGATTATTTTGCCAATTTTTATTCTTCAGTAAATACACCTATTTGTGTACTACTGGAGGTACAAAGTGAGGGCTCCAGATGTTGGCTTTAAGATGGCAGAATGCACTGGTCTGTAAAACTGCAGCCTGGTTAGGGACCATGCCCTTGGTATAGTGGATGCTGTCCAGATATGTGTCCATTACAGTGTAATCAGTGACCTTAGTCACATGTATTAAGGATGTGCTAGGAATGCTATCAACTTGGCTTTTTCTCCAATTAGGATACATGCAGGCAGATTATAGGGCAGGATCTCACCTTCAGCATCTCATTCTATAGCTTAGGGTTCCAAGAGGCAGAGTTCATTTTTTTGAACTTGTGTTTGTAACCAGAAACAAAGTTATACGTTGCTAAAGATTTGTTTGAGGTCATAACCACACAGGTGTGTAAGGGTTTTGTGAAGATTCTTAAAATGCCTCAGGCTCGTGTTTAACAGTATGGTATCAAAATCCTGTCAGCAAAGTTTCCATGTGTAAGAACTAGTAGTGGAACAGTTTTCCTTCTCCCCTTTAACGATGAAAGATTCAAGCTTTTTGTGACTCCTGGTGGCTGGCTTCCTGGCTGCTGGGGAAGTATAATATTGTGACAGCTAGCATAGGTTTACTGTGCCACTGCTCACTTCAGCCTCTTTCAGATAGTGTCACATAGCACCTCCTCCTCACTGTGGTCAGAAAGGTCAGGCCTGCCCCGCACAGAAGAGACAGTTGGGAATGAACATCCAAGTTCTAAGTACAGCAGCTCTATGGGAAGAATTGCCATGTGCTCTTGTCACTTAGGAAGCCTCACGTCCTGCTGACACTGTAATGGCAGGAGGTTGTAAGTCAAATGCTCACTTCATACGTCATAATGTAAAAACCCAGGTGTCCTGTACAGTAAAAGTAGTTTCTCTATGTTCCGTTATATACTTACTGCTTCTTTATCAGACATGCCCATTGCTTTGTAGCACACTACAAATCCAGGCCCCACCGGGCTTTTCCTCTGTTCTGTTCTCCGGAAGGAAGCTCCAGGGATGTGGCTTGGACGGGTGGGGGCTGGCACAGTGTACAAGTCACCATGACCACCTCAGGACTGGGGCTTGGGATTGCTGCTGGACACAGGTCTGGGACAGATCTTTGGCAAGGAGCTGTTACGTGAAATGAAGATAAGAAGTCTTTACTCTGCCATTCCTATGAGGCTTCGCGGCTGTGAAACCTAAAGCGGCCTTGATCCCTGAAACGCTTCTAGACTGCGGATCCACATAGTCCTGTTGTATGTTTTGTAAAACTCAGAGATTTAATTTATTTATATATAAAAAAACTGACTGTTCTAGCCTTTACTGACACTTGGATGGCCACGTGGGAGCATTGTAGACTACTGGATAGAAGCTAGTGGCCTTAGTCTTTTGGACATAGCCATATCTGCGATAAGACTGCATTGTATCTCCTGGTCTCAAAACTGCTGTGAAGCAGTTTGTGGCACCAGGCCTTCTTTGCAAGTACGATCTCAGCTCTGGAGTTTTCAGCATTCCTGATGTGTGGGGAGCAGTCATTGATTTTTAGTCCCCAATCACCCTGCAAGCATGATTGCAGTACGGGTTGACTCCAGATAGGCTTTATGGGTTCGGAGCGGCAGGGTGTGAGGGAAATTAAAAAACCCCTAGAGGAGGCGTTTTCTGTGTGGGTGCTGTTGAGACTGAGGCAGCACTGGGCCCTCAATCGCTCCCTCCCGCTGTGACTTGGGCACCCGACTGCCAGTTACACTAATTTTGTCCTGACATGGAGAGATTTTTGTGCAGGTAGGGGAGTTTTTACATTTTTCCTTTGAGGTTTGGTGGCAACTCTTACTGAATTAAAAGCCTCAAGTTGTCACCTTATTACATTGAGGAAATGTCAAGTCCAGAGTGGTGTGTGTGGATACCCGTAGAACGATCTGCTTCTTGATACAAAAATTGGTCTCTGATTGGCTTGTCCACAAAGCATTGAAGTGCCTTGTGGCTTCCAAGCTGCTGGCAGGAGAGTGCCAGCCTCCTGGGTCCTTGGGGTTGCTTGTGCATGGGGGGAAACTTGTCCATGTCCCCTTTCTGACAAAACCTTTGAAACTTGGAGCTTCACCGTATTTGTCCTCGAGTTCCTCATGAAAGTGATAGTCTAAAAATCTTCATTTTAATTGTGTGGGATTTGTCCTTCAGTTTCATAGCTTAGTGATAAAATGGAGCCCTTGATAATTAATGATCTGAGATAAAATGTTGAATGGGGTAATACAGTCAAGCAGTCCTGAGATAAATTACAGTGTAACTATCATAAATACTCCAGCCTACCAGTAGTTCTCCTCTGTTCTGAATTTTAAGATTTAAAATCCTTTAATCAAAATGCATCTTAATGATCCTCAGAAAGTACATTTGAACATAACATTGATTGTGCTTCAAAGTCATCTCTCTCAGGTTGGCCCTATCACACTCTGACCCTGTGTTTTGTTCTGCAGCCATGAAGGATGATAAGAGAGTGGAGGACAGAGTGGTGGTGCCAACCACAGGCCCAAAGAAAGCAGCTCTTCCAAGCTCCTCGGTGGGGAGACAGCCTGCGCCCAGAACTCTTGTTCCAAAGAAGCCTCCTCCGTTTGCTAACATGGCAGTAGCCAAAGCAGCTGTTAAAAAGTCACCCTCAGGCGTCAGGGGCCCCATACCCAAGAGGCCATGGCTCTTGCCTACCCCGACAGGCACCCCAGCGGCCAGGCAGGCAGGACCAAATCCTATTGCTGTGGCAGCTGCTTCCAAAAAGGCACTGGGCTCTGCTGCTTTGGTTGGATCCATGCGGAAGCCAGTGACAACCTCCACCCCCACAGCAGTTCCAGCCACAGGACGCCTCGGGGCCACAGGTGCTGCCCAGTCACAACCAAATTCCCAAATCCGGCAAAATATAAGACGCTCCTTGAAAGAGATTTTATGGAAAAGGTGGGCTATTCAACTTCATGTCTTAGCCTGTGGAAGTGGGGGTTTTGCATTTACACTGTGTCAAGACTGGCTCACTGTTGAAAAAAATGAAATATATACACATACCGAGTGGTTCATTCGGTCCCTTTTTTTTTTTTTTTTTCATTCTGTTCAGAGTCAATGACAGTGATGACTTAATCATGACAGAAAACGAAGTGGGAAAAATTGCCCTCCACATTGAGAAGGAGATGTTTAATTTGTTTCAAGTTACAGATAATCGCTACAAGAGTAAATACCGCAGCATCATGTTCAACCTGAAGGACCCTAAAAATCAGGTGTGTGAACCGTCCTGTGGTGTGGACTCGTTCTGGGGGAGTGATGCACTTCCCGTCAGGGTGCCTTCTGTCTCTCCCAGAGTCCTGTCAGGCAAGTGTTCCCACTGGTGCTCCTGCCACCCACCCGGTTTACTAGATGAGACTCTTAAACATCACCGTCAAATCACGATGTTGAGTTGAGGCAGCAGGTGCTTTAGACTGTGCTGTGCACTGCCCCTGCAGGGCCAGCCTCAGCCTGGGATTATGGCCTCACTTTCTGATTGTCAAACCATTGGTCTTGGAATTAACTGTAATGCTTATTAGCACCACCGCTATCACATTACATTCTCTAGTATCATAATCTTGTTACACGGACCAGAATTCGTACTAAATGACATCTGGATTGCAATAGTGGGTGTACTTTTTGGACCTTTGTATACTTTTTTTTTTTTGTCCACAAGACTCGTAAGTGCTGTTTGCCTGTGTTTTAGGATCAGGATCAAGTATTCTGACTGTACTTCTCATGTTCAGCAAGCTGTGGTCAAAGGAATAGGTTTCCTACATTCTTCATGACACCCTTTTTATTTTCTTTCTTTTTTTGTCTTTTTGAGCCAGGGTTTCATTACGTAGTTCAGGCTGTCCTTGAACTTACTGTGTATCCCAGCATGGCCTCGGACTCAGCAATCCTCTTACCTTAGCCACCTAAGTGCTAGGATCACAAGCATGTGCCACCATGCCCAGCCATAATACCCTTTTTGACTTGTCTTCTACTGTGGGTCTGGGGTCAGTTTCCTGAGGCTGTTGGGTTTTTAGTGCAGTCCATGCAGCATGGCTGTGAAGTCAGTTCTCCACTGGGCCAGGCTGGTGCTTCCTCTTGAGAGGCTGCTGGGGAGTGGAAGTCCCTCTGGGTGTGGCTGGACACTGCCCTCTGCAGGGCTTAGGGTCTGTGCCTGTGGCCCTTAACCTCTGACAGGACCTGTGGTGCTTAGCTTCCACATCTCACTGCAAGTCTAGGTGCTTACCCAGCTTTTCAGTGACTGACTGGAAGGTACTTATTTATAGGGACTCTTCCATCGAGTTCTGCGCGAAGAAATTTCCTTGGCAAAACTTGTGAGAATGAAGCCGGAAGAACTTGTATCTAAAGAGCTTTCTATGTGGAAAGAGAGGCCAACAAAATCTGTGAGTACAGCAAGTGGTAGCTTGAGTCTGAAAGCTCAGCTGTGCTTTACATTAATAATCTGCTACTTGCAGGGTGATATGGTTTGTGCTTAGGACTCAGGGCTTAAAACTTTTTGTTTTTCTCTTTGCAGGTAATCGAGTCCAGAAGTAAACTACAGAACGAAAGCAAGAAAACTGCCATGAAGCCAGAAAGTATTCCAGATATGGAAGATTCCCCACCTGTGTCAGATTCGGATGTGAGCACTGGGGATTTCAGTGGTTGTTGGGAGAAGAAAATCAACTCCTTCCAAATGCTTCCAGGGTCTTCAGTTACCAGGCAGAACACTGCACTGAACTGAAGACAGGTGTATGTGGACATGTAGCGGTGATGGGTCCTGGTACCTGCAATCAGTGCTCCCTGTTTTCCAGTGGTTCCTACTATTGTGAGACTCCACATCTATCTGCCAGTGTTTGGACATGATTTGGAAAAGAAGTGACCTGGTTGGTTTTTGTTTCTTTCACCTGTAGGAGCAGCAGGAATCAGTGCGTACTGCCCCTGAGAAGAGCACAGCGCCTCTTCTGGACGTATTCAGCAGCATGTTGAAGGACACGACAAGTCAACACCGGGCCCATCTTTTTGATCTAAACTGTAAAATTTGTACAGGTGAGCATAATCTGGGGTATAACTTTGGAAGTCAGACAAAAGTTGATGGTTCTTGAATCACATGTCCTCCTAAAAGTGATCCTCTTCAGCCCAAGTTAGGACAGAGAAAGACAGTGGTTTTCTAGAGTTTGCCTTCCCTTCATTCTGTGGGTTTAATGCCTGTAAAAAGTCACCCTCTGGGCCAGGGATTTAGCTCAGCAGCATAAGTGCCTGCACAGCAAGCACAAGGTCATGTGTTCAATCCCCTATACCAAAAACAAGTCATTCTCTACTCACCAACAAGCCCTAAGGCACTAGGTTTCTCAATGACTCTGTCTTCACATTCCTCAGGTCAGGTTCCATCAGAAGATGAACCAGCTCCTAAAAAACAAAAATTAGCAATTTCCGCTAAGAAAGAGGACTTAAAACCCAAGCCTGAGAGCTCTCCGCCTAATCCAGTTTCTCACTTGTCTGAGGAAAGTTCTGCAGAGATTCTACCAGAAAACGCCTCAGAAGCAGACCTGGAAAGTGGCTCTGACCCAAACCTAGAGAGGAAGTACTTCCTCGGGCTGCCAGAGGACAACCATCCCGAGTCTTCCCTAACAGAGGGCTCTTCTCCCTGCACAGCTTCCTGTGGGGTTGGGGTGATTACCACAGTCACTGTGTCTGGCCGTGACCCCAGGACTGCTATGGGCAGTGCCTGCACTGTCACGGTCTCTGCTGCCAGCCATCTGGACAGCACCCATACGGGTGAAGCCAAACCAGACCTGCAAAAGCCTGCTCTGCCCTCCGTGACGCTGCCCAAGTCCATACTCGCCAAGCCATCCTCATCCCCAGACCCAAGATACTTGTCAGTTGTACCATCGCCGGGGGTCAGGTGGGTACTTGAGATGGGGCCTGAACTTGCTGGAATCCTGTTTCTTTTAGATTGGAGGGAAAGATAGGATTTAGATACTCAAACCTAAAATTTATTCCCAAAGTCCAACCTGATACCTATGTAACCTAAAAAGATTGCCTAATTTACCTGGTGTGGTGGTGCGCTCCTGTGAGACCAGCCTGGGTTACAAAGTGAGCCCACGGCCAGCCTGAACTGTATACCGAGACCATCTCAAAAAAAGAGAAAATGATTGTCTAAGAACAGTGAATCCCAAAATTCACAGGCATTGCATTGTTAGAGCACCTGCAAATATTGAAAAATCACAGATTTCAGCTATGGTCAGAAAAATGACATTTTTAAACTTTAAATATGCTATATTTCCCATGGTTCGGTGATTTAGTAAAATACTGTATTAATAAAGCCTTAGATGATGCAAGACATTTTCGCAGCATCTTAGGAATTTTAAGAAAAAAAAACTGAGAACACTCAGGTAGCGACACATGATACAGCAACCTGTTACGGTGCAGGGAGCTGGAGATGACCTACAGGGCTGCAGCCAATCAGCAGCAAGGAGAACTGAGCAGCGCGCGTGAATTAGCTACTTGCAGACATCCCACCAAAAAACAATTGCAGAGGATTTTTGTGTAATTGCAAGGGTTTCTGGGAACAGTTATTAGTTAAGTTCTAAGGAAAACACAAATGACTGAAGCCTCGAACTCTGAACTTTAACTTCTTGGGAATATACTGGACCATTTTGGAGAGGCAGCATTTCTTTAAGATAGGGTCTCGCTATGTAATTCAGGGTGGTTTTGCACTCATAGTGATCCTCCTATCTCACCCTCAAGTGTTGGGATTACAGGTGTTCACCTCCATCCCCAGTGAGGCACAGATCTGAAAATCTTTAAATTTATAGTCATCTAGATTTGTTAGCTTTTGAGCTTATTTCTTTGTCTAAAATATCTAGTTCATTACAATAATTTATTGACAAAAGTAAGCTGCCAAACTTAAGGAAGCTCTCTCTTGCTTCTAAACATAAAAGTTTGTACTCTTGCAGTTCTCATTGTACAAAAAGAGATTAATTTTGTTCTTCTGTCTTGTTTTGTCTTACAGTGTCTCAGAGTCACGCTCTCCCCCAGAAGGAGACACGACCCTCTTCTTGTCTCGCCTCAGCACCATTTGGAAAGGATTTATTAACATGCAGAGTGTAGCCAAATTTGTCACTAAGGCGTATCCTGTCTCTGGGTGTTTTGATTATCTCAGTGAGGTTAGAACCAGGGGTATCCTGTCTCTGGGTGTTTTGATTATGTCATTGAGGTTAGAACCAGGGGTGTGTCCGTGTGCCTGTGTGTGTATCCCAGGAGTTTCTGTGCGGTGCTGGGCAGGGCGGGTCCTGATGTCAGCACCTCTCAGTGCAGGAGAGGAAGCTGAGGCGAGGCAGAAAGGAAAGCAGTGTGGAGAGGGCAGAAACTGGGAGGAGAATTCAGCATAGGCTTTACCTGATGAGCATGCGCAGAGCATCCCCGGGTATGTGTGATGTGCCTTAGGTTGGCTGCCGTGCTTATCACCGTCATAGGACTTGCGTTTTTCAAAAGTGACTAGTTTGTTGTGATCTTAGCCAGCAGCAGTTGGTCAGTCCACTTGGCTAATGCTGGCGTCATTGCTGTGTGTCCTTCAAGTGGAGCATCAAACCTTGAAGCAGTAGTTTGTAAATAGGATCCCATCCGGCACGGGTGGTTACCGTCCCCCGTTAGGTCAGGAACCTCCTAATCCTCCATGGTAATTAGCCAGGTAACATTTTATACAGTGATATTCATTTTCCCTGAATTAGTTGTGATATTCTTAAGATTTGGCTGGTTTTGTACTTTAAAGTTTCCCTGTTACTCCCTCTGTAAATACTTCTGCTTCTTTGGCCATTTACTCTGAGTCCTTCCTGTTTAGGACCTGCCGGATACGATTCACATCGGCGGGAGGATTGCTCCGAAGACAGTGTGGGATTATGTCGGCAAACTCAAGTCTTCTGTGTCCAAGGTATCCGAAGCTATAGAACAGTCTGTGCCCCAGTGGCAGAAAGTGTTCCAGTCTTGCTTTTATGATCTTTTTTGATGGGCCAACACCAAATTGTCACCCTGAGACTTGGCACACACTGAGACTGTTACATCTATAGATACTCCACCTGAGGGGAGTGATACTGCACAGGGACAGGAGCTCCCATTCATGTAATCATGCGTGGCAGGTGGGGTTCGTAGGCAAGGTGTGCACTGTGCCTTGTGGTGGCAGGTGGAGAAGGGGGTGTGTAGGTGGTCTGGCCAGCTGCTCCTTTGACCTCTGCAGCCAGCTTTATTTTTCTTGAGAACCCTGAGAAAGAACCGCAGCTGGGTGTCGCAGTCCATCCCACTCCCCACCTCTACCCCTCCCAGGAGCAGGAACTGTCCATTGTTTCTATCAAGACCCTCTCACTCAAATCTGCCCTCTGACGAGACGCTCAGACGCCTTTGCTGGTCGGAGGCCATCTGCACAATCCCTGTGTATGGAGTTAGGCTTGCTGGGTAGCACCTGCTGGCTGTTCCTGCACCCAGATCCCCTTGCTGCTTTGAGAGCCTGTGAGATTGAGGCTAAGGGAAAGAAATATAAATTGTTCCTTGTGCTGAAAGTGAGTTTTCATTCTGGCAGTCAAGCTTGAGCCTTTGTTTCCCCATGGTAGACCAGGGGACTGAGAAAAATCACAGTCAGAATTGCTAGACCCTCCTTTTTTGGGATTTGCATTTGAAATTTTAGGCAGAGCCTTAATGAGTGCTTGGAATGGGCAGCCCAGGTGAAGATTCTACTCTGTGCTCTGTGTTGCAGGAGCTCTGTCTGATTCGCTTTCACCCAGCAACAGAGGAGGAAGAGGTCGCCTACATTTCTCTCTACTCCTATTTTAGCAGCCGTGGCCGCTTTGGGGTTGTAGCTAATAACAACAGGCATGTCAAGGACCTCTACTTGATTCCACTGAGTGCTAAGGACCCTGTGCCACCTAAACTCTTGCCCTTTGAGGGACCAGGTAAGTGCCCACCTTCTGGGAGGTCATTAGGCACTCTGGTCCCATTTATCCCCACTGCCATACAGTCCTACTGAGATGTATGTCACAAGGTGGACCTCCCTCAGCGAACCCGGACATCCCTGGAGGCAGAATTAGGAGCATACAGGAAACTGTAGCAGGATCCCATCCTCTGGGATGTGGAGCTGCAGCCGTCAAGAGAGTGCAGCAGACAGTGCAAATTTTGTTGAGAAGTTTTAGGAAGACTAGGAAAGCTGACGCCTCCCATCCAGCCTCAGATCTGTGGTCCTTTCTCATCTCTGGCAGGTGAGAAGCAGCTGGGGGAGAGGAAGCGTGCTGCTCACCTGCGTCTGGCCGCCCTGCAGTCCAGGTGGGCAGCGCACAGCTCCTGCCCTGCTGGGAGTGGTGGAGCTCAGTGTATGGCTGCTCCGCTGCAGCCTTCTCGCAGGAATTGATTCCTGGGGACAGGAAACACAGTGATGTCGGAAAGCACTGCTTGAAAGAATTACTTTGAAAACCACAGCTAAAGGGCGGGGGTGTAGTTCAGTGGCACAGGTGTCTGCCTGGCAAGCACAAGGTACTGAGTTCGGTTCTTGATACCAAAACACATACGCATACACACACACAGCTAAAGTTTTCATAAGTTCTTTTCATCTTCGCAAACTATTTTGTGTTTGCTTTTTTCTTAGAAAATAATGTGTTTTAAGAGTCATTTATGAATCAACCTTAAAAAAAGGCAGAATTCCCTCATTTGAGGTGCTTCCAAGATAGCTCTGGTCCCTCATTGGTGTGGTGTTCTTTCTAGCCCCATGGAAGAGATCGGTGTGACTCCTGTGGGGACTGGGAGCTTGGCGCCTGGGTGTGTATCTCCTTGGTCCTTGTCCTTAGAGGATCTGTCTTACTGCAGAGCTGATGTGTCTGTCACATGCTGAGTACGCTTCCAAGTGCTCTACTATAGTGACATCTGCTCAATTCTGGGAGCATTCGGGTACACATTGGTGCCTTGGTTCCTGTCACCAAGCCCAGCAGAAGCTCTGACTGAAGCCATGTAGGGCTCTCAGAACCCCACGGGCCACTCATGCTACCCCTAAGCAAGCAGTCATCTTACAGGCGTGAGAACCCATCCCCCAGTCACAGGCCTGGTCCTGGGGAGCTGTTGTTCCTGCCTGCCCCTTAGCTCACCTCAGCCTGCTGTTTGGAATTGTGTGACCCAGAGGTGTTGGTTGGTGTCAGTAACTGTACGGTTAAGTACTAAGTGACATGACAAATTGTCTAATACAACAGAAGCACACTTTGAAAGTGCTTCCGGAGGCAAAGGCACGCTAACTAATGGTGCTCTGGAAGTACGCGCTGGCAGCTGTAGGGGAGCGCTGCCCAGCACTCTCATAACCAGGCACAGGAGAAGTCGGGGTGTCCTGAAGGTGAAGATCCAGAAGCAGACCCACAGCCTCCGAGGAGCTGCCGGTTAGTTGGGAGTGAGTAGCTCATGGGCAGGACTTAGTCTGCGCATGTGGCTCCCCATGGCGGAGCGCTGTTTCCATAAGCACCTTTCTTTGCGGTGGAAAAGACACACCACCACCCCTTTTTTTTTAAGAAGACTACTGGTTAGACCCTGAGCCTGCCTGTGCTGAATGATTAAAGCAGCATTTCACCTTCCTTTAAGCGCCTGTGTACAGTCTCCCCCAGGGGGCGCCAGAGGAGGCCTGGACGGGTCGTTGTGGGGTCCCTGCAGAGCGCGCTGTGCAGCGCTTTTTGGTTCCTATCCACAGAGGGCGGTGAGAGGCAGAGGGAGGGCACCACAGGAGCAGCACCCCACTGAACTCGCAGGCTCAGGTTGGGGTATGGCTCGTCCGCTGCGTGTGTGTGGTGCCCAGCTCCCAGGTTCCCACTTAGTGATGGTCAGGTGGGTGTCAGCTCAGCACCATGGCACCTCCTAAACCCATGAGCCTGCCCAAAGGGACACTAAAGAGACAGGTTTCTACCTACAATAAATAACAATTATGTTTTATTAAAATGGGATGGTTTTTAGAAAGGTAGTGAAATACTGCCACAAATTTTGAATGATTTTTTTTAACTTAAGGACCTCACTGTACCACTTTTTAAAATTCTTTTCATACCACTGTGCACATGAAAACGTGTGTAGGATTAACACACCAGCAGTAGATAAGCTCCAGGCTGGGATAACTTAGGTACTGATAGCTTGCTGTTCTCTAGGTGGGTAGTTAGGTGTGTGTGTGTGTGTGTGTGTGTGTGTGTGTGTGTGCGCGCGCGCGCGCGCATGTACACGTGCATATGTACATGAGTGTGCATATCGGAGCTGGAATGTTTCTCCCAACCCCATGCTTCTGTCCTCACAAGAGTCTAGTCTCAGCAGATTACGTGGGGGTAGCTCAGACCCTGTCAGAAGGCAGTGCCCATGTGACCTCCACAGACCTTTGTCCTGTCTCAGCAGCTGCCAAATAGCAAACCAAGGTCTTGGAGCTGCTCATGGTGTCACTTGCCCCCAGGGCTCCCCTAGAAGCAGTGGGACTGGGCTGTGCACAGTCCCCCCCATTCCAGCTTTTCCCTCAGCACTGAGGTGGCCGTCAGCCCCCCGCCCCCTGCCCTTTTCTCTGCACGGTGCAGGAAGCACAGGTTGGGAATACTTGGAGCCTGGGGCCCGAAGCCTGGGGCAGGGATGGGCATGAGTCAGGCCAGTTCGGGGTGTGCTCAGGTCACGACAGGAATAGAGAGGTCGGCCGCTCTGGTCTATGTGCCCCAAGGCCGAGGCAGGACCTGGCAGCACAAGATCCTCCTTGGCTCCCATATTGGAGAAACCAGCAGTGCCCCCTCAGGACGGCTAAGTCAGCCTGCCTGTGGCTCACACTTGATCCCATGTTCTAGCAACCGTGGCTGTTTAAGCCTGCTCCCACGCAGGGCATCTCTCCTGCTACACGTCTTCACACGGTTGACTGCTGAGCACCTCCAGAAGTATTTGTCCCTGTGCATTTCAGTGATCTCTCCACAAAAACATGGCGTAGTCTTGTTCTGTCAGACAGTGACCTTAGTTATGTCATCATTGTTTCCAGAGACAGCAGGGAAATATGGGGCCCTAACATCCAGCTCTGGGTCCTCCACTTAGACATCAGTTGAACTGGACTGCAGAGCCACTGACAGGTCTCAGAGTCTGCAGGGCTAGGGCCTCAATCACAGAAACAAGATTAGTCAGGGAAAGGCGATCTGTCTCAGCAGTCATGTGTGGCGCTGACCGCACTGTTCCTGAAGCCAAGATGCCCACCTGACGTTCAGCAGGGGCCTGAGGCCCAACCTGAGAGAGCAGTGGGGCTTGCTCTGGATGGGCACAGCTGTTGAGCAGCCCACAGTACCAGCAGGCATGCAATCTCCTGCATGTCACCCTCCTTAAGCACGCCCAAGGGAAAGGACTGTCCTTCCTGCAAGAAGAGTCCAGTGTCTTCTTTTTGTGTTTGCTTTTAACTGCTTCTTAATTAGCTGGAAAGTACTGTGCCTTTACATACGTATTGCCAGGTAAGCACATCTTCATTTTTCATGTGTTTGTGTCAGTAGTTTTACCCAGAAATTGTAATCAAAGTCAGAATATAGTGTTGAATGGAATGTACTAATTTCTCACTCAAAATCAATAAAAGTGTTCCATGGAAACTGGTCACTGTTTGTTTGACTTGCACCATTTAGTTCTGGCCACCTGTCATAGGTCTACCTTTGCTTCCTACAAGCCTAAACAACCTGCTGCTGGTAGTGCCAAGGGCTGTGGGCTGCCCTGCTGCAGGCATCTCCTGCAACAGGACCTGGAAGAAGGACAGTGCCTTCCTGCCTGAAACATGTACTGGGCCAGTGGCTTTTTACAGGCCTTGGGGATTCAGAATGGAAAAGGAGGGCTCTGGGATGTTACATGTGTATCTGGTATGTTGGGAAAAGTATAGTGCCCCTCCCCATGTTTGCCAAATCATACTTACATCTGTTGTTCGTTAACTTCTACAGAACTCCTGTTCCAGCGAGCATAAAGGTTTTCTTCTGGCAGATGCAGACCTTAGAAGGAGCGTCCTCATTTTGATGACTAGTTCACGTGTGATGCTGGTGGGCTCTCAGGGCCACTGCCCAGTGTCTGAAGCGAGGCCTTCTCTCCTGGTCGTGTTATGCGCTCACAGCTTACCGCTGACTCATCTGGGTATAGGTCCTAGTTTTGCCTGTCCCAGGAGATTAGGTGGCACACACCTTGGCAGTTATACCCTTGTCCTTGGCCTCTCTCTCCTGTGTGTCTGGCCTAAGACCACTGCATCTGGAACTAGAGCCCTACACCCTTTGGCTCCAGGGCTGCAGATGTGGCCCTTAATGGGCTCATTTGCATACACCGGCCATGGAACACGTGCCACATCCTGAAGGAAAACAGGAGGTCCCTGTTGCACATCCCTTGTCCCTTGTGGAAATGGAGGAGGGCACACGTTATCTGCAGCTGCTCCCTCAGTATCCCAGTAGGTAGTTGCTTCCTGTTTCCTGCTTGCCACTTACAAAGCCCACAACAGCCCTCAAGAGAAAGATGAGCTGGCACGTGTGCTTGTGCCGGTGTTGGCCCTTGACTGCATCCACGCTCAGTCTCAGCTGCAGCCCGTGAGTGCGGCTGCTGGTCTTAGGATGCACTGCGTGCTTCCATGGCAGCTATGGAAGTGGGGCAAGCCTAGAAAGTGAGCCCTGGGAAACGGGCCTCTGCTACCCCTCCCCCAGTGCAGGGCACAGCTGGGTGGACCCAGGTGACCTTCTGACCTGGTTTGACATTTTCCTGCCTGACATTTTCTCAGGGCAGTGTGAGACATCTTCAAATACACTTGTTCCTTTTCTCCCCAAAGATGCTCTCAAGATTATTGATACGTGAGTTGTATTTCTTAAATAGAAGCTGCTCCCAGGGTGCTTGCTCTATTTCAGATACTCCTGGAGTCACAGTGGCATCAATACCTGAGTCAGGTGGTAAGGGTGTCCTTCAGAATCTGGTGTCTGTCATGGGACAGCCCAGTTTCAATTCAGTCTTCAAGGCCCATTAGTGGGAGGGAAATAAAAGCACACTGTCCTGTCCAGAGCTTGATCAGCCCGTGCACCGCATGTCTAGGATGGTTGAGAGGTGACAGCATTCCAGAAGGCCAGCTGCTGGTTGGTACCAACCTCCAAACATCTGCATTGCTCAATACTAGTGTAAATAAGAAGTCACAGAACAGTCGCCTTACTATGGGGACCACGACTTCAGAGATCATGCAATATAGAGAAATTCCCTGGGCTAGGACTCCACATTTCATCCAGGAAACACAGGTCACTGAACCAAGGTGATAGAGACGCACTCCCCAAGGGCAGAGGCTGTCTTCTGGGTTTCACAGAGAGAGCTGTCTACCACATGCCCAGCAGTGACCCCGAGACTTGATTTGTACCCTGGTGCAAGCCTGTTACGGAGCTTTCTAAGGAGTGAGGCAGCACGCTGCATCAGAGCTGAGGGCAGGTGTTTGGTACTGATCTGTCCTGGGCTGCACGCCAACGCCCCACCTCTTGCTGTGCACTGTGCCTCCCCTCCCACCTCAGCCCGCAGAGCCTGTTTGTCCTCTTTTCTGGTGTCAGATTTTAGGGCTTGACCTGTGGTAGAATCTCAGCTTGAGGCCCTAAATTTTGATTGCTCTGCACTCCAATCTTCTCTTGCAAGTCCTATGGTCTTTTGAGCCTTTGTTAGAAGGACCTTAATAGCCAGTTTAACAACTGAACATACCCCAAAGCCAGAGTTAAATAAAGTAGTAAGTAAATAGCTGTTAGTAAAATAGTATTTGAAGTTGCAATACCTTCCATTCACGGCTGTTAGGAAATGACCTTCGTGGGTTGCATTTCACAGTTGCTGTGTGGAAAAGTCGGTGTGACGTTAAGTGTGGCGTGCCTGTCGTACGAGATTCTGTGGCTCCCTTGCTCAGCTTTTCCTCTGAAGCAATTCCCGTTTCTCTGGTGAAAGGACCCTGGCAAGGGCCTTGTCACATGACGCTGCAGACCTCGTCCCAGCTCTTACGTGAAGGAGCAAGGCCTGTAAGAGGCCTTCACAGAGAGAGCAGCCCCTCTGGGGGGGGGGGGCTGGTGCCCCTCCGCCCCACCTGGTCTTCCTCTGAAGGTGTGGGAGAGGAGGAGCCCCATGGTGTGCTCAGGCTGGCTGTGAGTGTCTTCTTGGCATTACGAACATTGAACATCCACAGTTACAACTGCACAGTAGCAGCCAAAGACAGCTATGGGAAATGATTCATGGCCATCTTTAAAATCACAACAGGAAGAAAATCTAGAGTGTTGGTTTCCTTTGAGACAGGGCCTTGCGACGTAATCCAGGCTGGCCTCTGGCCTCAGCCTCCAGAGTGCTGGAGTGACTGGCACATGCCATCATGCTCAGCTTCTAGCATTGCTTTTAGTTGTAAGGAAAAATCTCTGGATACTCTTGTCTCCATGGCAGTGTTAAGTCAGTTGAACATCAGATACACAGTTTTAGATGTGTCCATGCTGCTGAAGGCCGCTTTCTGTTTCTTCTGTGTCACTGTGTCCTACATTACTGCTCGCGATGTGGCTCTTTCGTCCTTCTTTTTGTGTTGGTTTCTTTTTGAGTATGGGGTTGGGGATCATTACTGTACGATGGGTTTTCCTAACCTAAGTAACCGCCACCCGGAATGTTTGGCACAATCCCGATTACCTTTAATAAACTGGGCTCCCGCCTTCCCCGTGCTTCCTCCCTACGACGTGGTCTTTACCGCCCAGTTCTGATTTCTTGGTGTTTCAAGTAAGCACAACTCTCTGTACTTAGAAAGGCCCGAGCGTGGGTTAATGCTCACTGAATGTTTTTCTTAAATTAGCCATTTCAAACAACTTCATTTTTCCCATTATAATTCTGACAATTTTTTTTTTCTGAACAGCTTTTACTTAGTAGTATTTTAGCTTTATTTGTGTGTTGCAAGTCATGAATCAAAGACAAAACTGATTGCTCATCTCCTGATACCTACCAAGGGGCAAATAAAGAGGCCAGGTCAGATTTTGTTTAAAATGTCCCAGCACAGCACCAGGGATGTAGCTGAGTGGCAGAGCACTTGCCTTGTACATGGGAGGTCCTAAATTAAATTCTCGATACTAAAAGCAAACAAAAATCTCAGTACCGCATACAGTCCTTGTCCATGTATCCTTGTGATCTCTGTAAACATGACAGCTGTTTGCATGTGGCCTTCCATGTCTGAACTGCCACGTTAGTACTGTTCACTTAAAAACAGGCAGCTAATCCCTGAGGGTGGTATGAATCTTCTCAGGAATTGAGCCCTTCATATCTGTGACTGGGGTGCCTCTGGCCTGCTGTCAGGCTCGGCCAGGTGTGCTAGTAGGTTTGGGGACTGGAATCATCTGGTCTTCTCAAACCTGAATCTCTTCATCTACCTATTAAAGGAGAACCCTTAATAAAATTCACATGTGAAGGATAAAAACTGAATTTAGATTCTAAAACTTCACAAATATTTTGTTTTTCAGGTCTTGAATCACCACGACCAAATATAATCCTTGGGTTAGTCATCTGTCAAAAAATAAAACGGCCTTCAAATGCTGGAGAGTCCGACAAGACAGAGGAGAAGCGGGCCCGACCTCAGCCGGAGGAAACGGATGTCCCAGTGTGTCCCAAGGGCCCGGCAGTCTCCCAGTCCGAGAGGAAGCCCCCCAAGTACCAGCTGTATGCTGCAGACACAGCCGTGGGCACCACACCCCCCAGCTCCCCTCCACCCCCACCCCCGCTTCCGGAGCCCCCAGCTTTGAAGACGCTGTCATCGCTCACACCAGTGGCCACCAGCAGTGCTGCTGCACCTGCCTCTACAGCAGCAGTCACCACAGCAGCTTCAGCTTCTCCTGTCACTTCATCAGCTTCAAAAACAGCCACCCCGCTGGAGCACATCCTGCAGACTCTCTTTGGAAAGAAGAAGACATTTGAGCCCCGGGGCAAAGACCCTGCTGGGCCCAGTCTGCCTTCACAGCAGGATTCTAAAGCCAAGGGTGAAGATGGTGGGTCGGCTGCGCCTCTGTTAGATCCCATCGTGCAGCAGTTCGGTCAGTTCTCAAAAGATAAGGCTCTGGAGGAGGAGGAAGATGACAGGCCCTATGACCCTGAAGAAGAATATGACCCTGAGCGAGCCTTTGATGCTCCACCTCCGGAGACAAGGACCTGTCAAGATGTGGAAAAGGCTCTGGACGTGAGCGAGAAGGAAGAGGTGGCCTATGATCCTGAAGACGAGACAATTTTGGAGGAAGCCAAAGTGACCATTGACGACCTGCCAAACAGGATGTGTGCAGACATGAGGAGCAGCTCCACAGAGAGGCCTGCGGAGTACACCACCGACGGGCCCACGCCCTCGTTGGTTGAGCAGCAGAAAATGCTGGAGGAACTAAACAAGCAGATCGAGGAGCAGAAGAGGCAGCTGGAGGAGCAGGAAGAAGCTCTCCGGCAGCAGAGAGCGGCTGTGGGGGTCTCCATGGCACATTTCTCTGTGTCCGATGCGTTGATGTCACCACCTCCAAAGTCATCACTGGCCAAGGCAGAGCTGTTCCCCCAGGAGCAGCAGACCCCAGACCAGAGTCAGGGAGTCTCTGGGACGCACCAAACCTCCGACTCAAGACAGAGTAGAGACCCTCGGCAGGCCAGACGCCTTGCGGAGAGCAGCGAGAATGAGCCCCTCCCCCGGCCCCCAGCAGTCAGCAGTACAGGAGTGCAGGGCACCCTACCTCCCCGGGAGGCTCCCTGTGGGGCCCCATCAGTGCAGACTCCTGCAGCAGCCCAGGAATCAAAGCAGTTGGTGGCAGCTCCTTGGGGTGCAGCTGAAAAGACTGCATTGATAGCCAAGCAGGATGGCCAGGGATTCGAGCATCCCGGAAACCCCAACCCGCAGCCCCTGGAGAATGCCCACCCCCCCACAGCCGGAGACTGCGTGGCCAGACCTGCCCGGAGGGTGCTGCTGCCCACACCCCCAACCACTGCCTTTCAACCTGGCTTCACTCTGCAGAACGACGTGCAGAATTTTAATCCTGCTGGAGGAAGAGAGCCTTTCTCAGGTCTGGTGTTTACTTCTCAGGAAAAGTCTCTTTGCCCCTCCTTGTATGAGGACCCAAGAAACACTCAGGGTGCTGGCAAGAGTGACAGCACAGCCACTGACACAGAGGGTGACAGAGAGCCACTGTCCAGGCCTGGCGAAGGTCCTGCTCTTTACCCCCAGGCTGGACAAAAGGGAGGGGCCCCTCAGCCCCCGTTTCCGAGCCAGCGTGAACCAGTTCCTCGCTCTTTTGGGATGTCTGGACTTCATGGCCCAAATTTCCCAGGACCTAGGGGACCAGTCCTTCCATTTCCAGAAGATAACGTGGTTCCGAACAGTGATGGGCCAAGAGCTCCGCCCCCTGCCAGATTTGGGGCCCAAAAGGCACCTATCCCTTCATTATTCTTGGGGCAACATGGACCATCTTATGGGGAAGCTAGGGGCCCCTCGTCCTCTTTCCTGGGCCCCCGAGTAGGAACACCAGCCCAGTTTGAAGAACACAAAGATCCCCACGGGGACAAACGGGAGTTCCAGGACAACCTGTATGGGGACATGGGGGGCGCCTCTGCCCAATGTGAAGGACCAGAGCAGGCCCAGTTTATGGGGAACAGGGGCACTGCCCCTTTCCAATTTGGCGGCCAAAGACGGCCTCTCCTGACCCAGCTAAAGGGTGCCCGAGGAGGACCCTCGCCTGCTCAGTTCGGCAGCCAGAGGGGACCACCCCCTGGCCATTTCGTGGGCCCTCGGGGGCCCCATCCCAGTCAGTTTGAAGGTGCCCGGGGGCCCCACCCCAGTCAGTTTGATGGACCCAGAGGCCAAGCCCCAGGTTTTGTGCCGGGGCCGAGAGGCCTTCCGCCTCAGCAGTTTGAAGAGCAGAGGGTAAACTCGCCACCTAGGTTCGCAGGTCAGAGGACACCAGCACCCATGCCATTCGGGGGACCAAGGGTCTCCGCACCCTTTTCTGAAAAAAACGAGCAGCCACCACCACGGTTTCACTTTCCAGGCCCGTCCCCTCAGGCAATGAAGCCATCCCCTAGGCCCCTCCTGGAGCTCCCCAGCCACCCCCCACAGCACCGGAAGGACCGATGGGACGAGGCTGGGCCCACGGCCCTGCCTCCTGGCACTCAGTCTGGACAGGGCCCTGAGACTGATGGACAGTGGCCCGCGGCGGCCGACTTCCGGGAGGGCAAAGGCCACGAGTACAGGACTCCGACTTTTGAAGGGAGACAGAGAGAACGGTTCGAAGCTGGGCCCAAAGAGAAGTCTGTGGAGGAGCCCGAAGCCCCAGGGCCAGAGAGCCGGCAGGGCCGCCCCTTCGAGGACAGGCGGCGGGACCGGGACCGAGGCAGGCCCTGGAGCCGAGAGCGAGACTGGGAGAGGAGCCGGGAGTGGGAGCGGCACCGGGACAAGGACTGCGGCCGCGAGTGGGACAAGGGCGGCGAGAGGAACCCGGGCAGGGACAGAGAGCGGACCAAGGACTGGGACCGGAGCCGGGAGCGGAGCCGAAACCGGGACCGGGACCGCAGGCGGGAGCGGGACAGGTCCCGGAGTCGGGACCGGGAGCGGGAGCGGGACAGAGAGAGGGCCCGGGACCGAGAGCGAGGCCGGGACCGCAAGGACCGCAGCAAGAGCAAAGAGAGTGCCCGGGACCCGAAGCCGGAGGCCGCCAGGGCCTCGGAGGCAGGTGGCGCCTCGGCCCAGGCCTGAGGCGCGGGCCTGGCCCTGCCTGGGGCGAGGAAGCTGCCGTGGTGGCTGTGCACCTGTGCTGGGCCCCAGAGCCTCGGTCTTCAGACCTGCAGAGCTGCTCGGACAGTGCTGACAAGCTCACGTGCCGGAAGAACAACCTGGACTTGAAGTTACTGTAATTTTGTATATAGTGATTTCTTACAGAGTTTCATCTTTATCTGATGATTTTTTTAGAAAACAACTTCAGAACTTAGTATTTCCATTTAAAATGACAGAAATGGAAAAATACCTACAAAAGCATATTGCTTTTTCAGATTACAGTTTATATTTTCCAATAACTTGACTGTTGTCAGTTCTAAGGGAATTTCAGTGGACCTAGAGCCATACTTTTGCTAGCATCTCGTCCGTCTCCGTGTTTCTGGAGCTGTCTGTGGGACTGGCCTGGCCAGTGTCACTGGGTGTGCTAGCCTGCGTGTGCCCGGCTTGGGAGGATAGTCTTAGTAGCTCCCTTGCAGGGAGGAGAAACCCAAAAGTTACACACTCATCCTGACTTCAGCATGAAGGGATTTAAATTACAAATTCCAGTTCAGAGACAAAAATACATTTCTTAGTTTTCAATTTTTTTCAAAAACAACTTAAAGCAACATCTACCTTGCAGACATTGTTGCATTTGAAATAATTTATTGAAATGTTGCAGTTTGACCAGCTTAAAGAGGAGACCAGCAAGTTTACCATACGAGGACGGGGAGGGCTATTCACGCCCCGCGGCGGGGTGCGGGGTGCGAAGCCAGGCAGGAGCGTGACGTCAGACGCTGCCGCGAGCCGCCCTCCCACGGATCCCATGGATCCCGGCGCGCCCTTGGCACGAGCTCCCCGGCGGGGCTGCTGCCGGCGTCGTCGGTGTGCGTTGGCCACGGGGATGGTGCATGCTTGTACAAAGTTTGAGCAGGACAAGAGTGATACATCGTTAATTCAAAAATGACGAACTAGATTCTCCGAAATGCAGTGCTGTATGGCTGTGACACGGTTTCAGGTACTTCTGACATGGAGCAGAGAAAGCCTGGTTAACTTATTTGACTGTACAAATACACTTTGATAATCCTTTTTATATTTTCATAAACTTAATTTCCCAGATATAAAATTAGAGAGGTTCATTTGTTCTTCGGAGTCTTTTCCATTGTATTGTACTTCACTACAGATTTTTCACTTTATAGCACAGATTTTTAAGTTAAGGAAACCTCAAGAATTTAGAAATTTGGGATGTTTGGTATTAGAAACCAAGCATCAGGAGGCTAAATTACATTCATAGGGGTCAAGTTCCAACATGTAACATGATGGGAAAGGTTTTTTTTTAACATTATAAAGTAAATTTTTCTAGTTAAATACACATGTATAAATCAAGTGTGTTTCTTTAGGATTACTTGATAGGAATTTCTGTACATTGTTATTTTGTATTTCAGAGTGTTATATCACTGTACATTGAACACAGGGCTTCATAGGTTTTGTTACTTGAAGCAGAATAAATATCTACCGAGAGTTCTTGTGTCAGGTCTTCACTTGGCCTCACACCGGAGTTCGGGTGCAGGCCGGGGCTCCTGGGTCCCCCTCTTCATGCGGGCCTGCACTCAGCGCTGCGTGACCTGGAGTCTGCGGGGACCCCCGCGGGCTCGCCTTGCAAGTCCAGGAATTGTCCCGGGGCGCCGAGGCGCTGAAGGCGTGGCGGGCTGCACCGCGGCTGTGCAGGTGGCCTTTGGGCCTTGGTTGTTCACCCAAAGCGGAGCTCTCGGCCGCCCTTGAGCGCCGTCTGCCGGCAGCACGGGGAGCCCTCAGCTGCTCAGCCGCACTTGTGTCCAGGCCCTGCCCAGGGCAGAAACTGCTGGGCTGGGCTGGGCTGCCCCCACCCCCAGGCTTAGGCTCTGGCTGCCCCTTTCCCAACCCAGCTAACAGCAAATCAGACCTCAGAGCAAGGACAACAGGGAGGCGTCCTGGGGCACAGGTGTCAGCACCCACAGAGCTCTGCTGCAGACATTGAAGCCACCTCCCTAAACCTCCGCAGGCCCTGTGCCAAGTACCAGGTGACTGGAAGCGCCCCCTCCTGCCTTTCCTGGGGAGACTGCCCTGCAGACTGCTCCCACCTCAGAAGGCTGGTGAAACCCTAATCCTGCGCCAGCTGCGAAGCTTTTGGATGCAGATCACCTCTGAGTAGCTTCCTCAACATCTCTAGAGAAACACTGTAGGCTCCCCATTAGCTTTAACTGAACCCCTCCTGCATACTCCCCGCCCCCGTGCCTGACCTCTCCTTTACCCCAAGACCCTGGGCAAAGCCTACTCCGTGCGCTCTTGTGGTAGCCACGCCAACCCAGCTGCCCTCGCAGACAAGCTCTACTGGCTCCAGCCTTGCGGCTCCTCCAGCGACCTTCACCCAGCACGGGGTGTACGAGCCCCACTTGGAGATGTGATGTCCGGCTGCAGCCTGCTCCTGAGATGCAGCCAGACCCCCGCAGCTGCAGGCGAGTCCAGCCAGACACAGCCCGGAGGGGTTTATCACCCCAGCCCAAACCCCAGCTTCTAGTTTTATTTTCACTTTTACAAATGCTTGGCCTTGTGAAGTACAATCTTTATTTCAAGTGCCCCTGAGGCGTATGTTCTCAAGTCTTGTTTGGTTTCTTTGTGTTTTGTTTTGTTTTGTTCACTACTGGGGTTGCACCACCAGGGCCTTGCTCTCGCTCGGCCATCTCTCTGGGGCTGTTGCTTTGAGAACAGCGTCTTGCCAGGTTGGAGTTCATGATCCTTTCCCAAGCCTCCAGGAGAGGTTACGATGTACCCTGCCATGGCTGGGTAGTTTCCAAACCCTTGAAGTGGGGATAGGGAGGGGAACTCTGACCATGACCACATGTAGGTCCTGATGAGACTGTGATGGGCTCCTGTGGCTGTCAGAGTGGACCCTGAGGCCTGGGTGGTCCTGTCCCTTTAAAGGGAGGTGGAATGTTTGTCCATTGCCTGAGGTCACTAGGGAGCCCCCCGTAGGGCAGGCCAGTTGAGCCAGGCAGAGGGAGAGGTAAGAGGTGGGCTGTGCTCAGGGGAGAGGCTGTGGGGCCTAAGTGGTGGAGAGATAAATCCCCTGAATGTGGCTCCAGCAGGATCCTCAGGGAGTGTTTAGACCCAGGCTGTCTGTCCTAAGGCATCTGGGAGGAGCAGTGTCCTTCCTTCCACAGAGAAGCCCTGCCCCGCCCCTCCCACCCCCACCCCAGGGGTTTAGTCACCATGAACACTGGCTTTTCTAACCCTATCAGGTGTCCACTAAGTGGTGCTGTAGCCACAGTGTGGAGAGGTTTACAATAACTGCCCTTCATTTTGTCCACATGCTTTCTACTTTGGACCCTTGTGTCCTGCCCGAGTTGGGTTTTCCTGAGCTGGGTCCCCTCACAACCAGGCTCTACCTGGGCAGAGGCTGCTGCCCAATTCCTGATCTTTGAAGTTTGGGGGGGCCACTTCCTAGACCCTGGGCTGACCTAGCAATGCCTCTGGCCCTGGGCTGACCTGGTTCCCTCTTGAACGTACCTGGCATGTCTGCCAATGGCCAGTGGCCTTCAAAGACAGAAGTGGACAATTTCCAGGTGGACTGAATGTGCGTGTCAGTCACTAGCATAGTGAAGCACTTGGGAAGTTTACGTCTCCCTTTAACCTTCCTTTGTTGGTGCTACCTGAGGCCTGTGACACGGCTTTCTTTCCTGTAGGCATGGATTACAGAGGTGGGGTTATTCCTGCAGGAAGCCACTCACTGAGGCGGTGTCAGTGAGCTTCGTGGGGTCCTGTCTGTGTGCACCCAGTGCCATCTGCCCAAGGCCTGGTGGGGCCCCTATAACAGTGTCTCCAGAAGAAACTCAGTGTTCTGTGCAGAACAGCACTCGACCCACTTCGGGGTACTTCTAGATTTGGTCCCTCTGGGCTGGGGTGTGACTCAGGCAGAGTGTGTGGTTAGTGAGTTCCATGCCCCAAGTGTGGGCTCCCGCACCAACTTAGAAAAATAACAGTTTGGAACAAACTGTTGGCTTCCATGAGCAGGAAGCGTTCCCCTGAAAGGCTTTCTGGTGACAGAGACTTGGCAGTGGTGACCATTGTCCTTCTGGGGCTCTGTGCTCTGTGTCTGTAAGGAGCCATTCTCAGTGCCTCACAGCAGCGGAACTGAACCAGCCCTCCCGGGACAGAGCAGCTCAGGGCCCCTGAGGCTCCGTGCGCACTGCCGGGCACCTCACACATGGGTCCTGGGCCCATGAGGGGGCTCTCTCCCCTGCCTTAACTGGGCAGTGTCCCTCCAGCGGTGGGCCCCCTTCCTCGATCCTTTGGTGCATTCCTGGCTTCTGCAGCCTCTGGCTGACCTTGAGAGTGGTTCAGGCTTGCGTGAAGAGGTCACCCGCAGGCGCCGTGTATCACTAGTAATAGAGTGCCACAGGGAGAAAGAAATGAGTGGTCTGAATTTTCAGTTTTATGTATTTTGCCTTTTTAGGGTATCATTGCCTGCCAGTCCACCCCCTAGGATGGAGCGAGAAATAAAATCAGAAACATAATCAGCATTGATGTGTGATTGATAGCTGGATAGGGTCGAAAGGACCCATCCAGGTATGTACCATTTTCTTCTACTTCTGTCATTTTAAGCAGGAGTAAAAGTCTGGCGCACACGCTTTAGTGTTGCAGAAAGAAAGTGAAACAGAGGCCCGGAATTGAGGCTGAAGCAGCGTCTGCGTCCAAGCACAGAGGGGACTAAAGGCCATTTCCTGCCTCACAGCCCATGCTCCACAGTGGGCTGTCTGATCCCTCGATGGCCTGAGGCTATGTCCACTCTCAGCCCCCTGTAGTCTGGTGCACAGGGCCCTGAGCACAGCTTCCAGAGCTAGAAGGGACCTGGCCCGTTCTTGCAGTGGGCACAGAAGTGGCCCAGTGCTGGACGCTCTGTGCTTGTGGGCAAGGCCAGTCTTGCTCCCTGTCATGGGAGGGGCGGGGCCTCCAGGTGGCCCTGGGTGTTAGCTGGCCACACTGTGGAAATTGCATCCTCATCCCCTCTTCCCAAGGGCAGACCAGGTCCTAGGCAGGTGAGCGGGGCACTGTGTGGCATGGGGAGTCTGGATTGTTCTCCACTGAGCACTTGCTATATTCCTGAAGTTTGAGAGTCGCCCAGGGTTGCCTCACAGCCACTGCTTAGGTAAGGAGGTCAGCAGCCTACAGCTCATGTACAGCTGCACCTTTCCCAGTAGGGATCCGTTTGATTTCCTGCTGTTCCTATTTCCCCCAAGCAGGCACCAGGCACCAGGGTGCACCCGAGGAGGAACTCGGGGTTTGTGCTCAAGGTGTGATTGCCTCCCTCTCCAGGCATGGATGATGTCGGGACCAGAGCAGTGAGGACACATCTGAGGCCAGCAAGCCCCTGAGGAAAGAATTCAGGAAGACCTGGGGGAGCCGGAGAATCCTGGCCCCACAGCAGAAGGGCGCTGGGGACACGGAGGGGAACCCTGCCAGGCAGAGGCTGTGCAGCCCCTCCCTGCGCCACAGCAGGAGGCCAGGGCGCAGGGAGCTGGCCAGGGAGTTCCTGAGCACAGTGTGGCCACCAGGAAAGGATGTGGTTGTGTCCCTTGAAGAGTCCACAGAGCCAGTGTCCTGTCTGGTGACCCCTGTGCAAAGCGCCTTGGGAGGGTGCGTTGAGAGCAGCCTCCAAATGAAGAGGGGACCAGTGCCCAGCTCCTGCTGTGCGAAGGAACGCCCCGCCCCTTTTAAGAAGGCCAGAGGATGGGCTGAGCCATGCAGCACCTCTGACAGTGATGGCGATGGCTTCCCTTTGGGAGCACGTCAGGATCACCTTCCAGGAAAGCCAGAGCCAGAAGCAGCAGTGGGGTGGCTGCAGGGTGTCCCCAGTCACCTAAGAAAACCGCTGAGGGAGGGGCACCCCAGCTACACTGCAGAGGCCGAGGCAGGCAGTGCCGGCCACAGTGCGCTGCCCCGCAAGCTGGACACTGACACCGAGGCTGCCCAGAGGGCTGTGAGCCAGGCAGCAACAGATGACAGAGCGCATGCATTGGAGGCAGCAATGATGTGGGGACCTGAAGACAAAGACCCCAGGCACCTGGGCAGACCTCAGCCTGAGGGCGAGGGCTGTGACCCCAACGCCATGTCCTGCGTCTGCTGCCAGCCTCTCAGCAACAGGTGGGTCAGAGTGACAGGCGGGGAGGTTCCTGCTGGCTTTCAGAAAAAGTCAGGGTCCTACCAGGCAGAGTACTCTCCGTCTCCATCGGGTGGGATTGGTACACAGTTAGACTGGAAAAAGCTGCACAGTCCCTGGGGGAGAGACAGAAGCTGGAGTGCAGATGACTGCCTGCCACCAGCCCTCCACGCTGCTGCCACCAGCAACACTTTTTGCTTAGTTCCAGTGTTGAGCAGCAGACGGCGGGCAGAGCTCATTGCTCCATCCCAGAGCCACCTGCACCCAGGGCTGTTGCATCGGTGGTGTGGGCGCATCTGCCGTTCCAGATACCCAGGGCAGGGGCCGGGCAGCCCAGACCCTGCAGAGCGCAGACCCAATGGTGCCCGTGTGGTCTGTGCTGGCACAGGTGCCCGGGAGGCTCGGGTACCCTGTGGACCTGTTGGTGGCGCAGTGTTGCTGCTGTGTGCAGGCACACGCACAAGCCACAAATTCACTGTGAAAAATTTCCGGTGGAGAAAATGACGGAGCAGGCTGGTTGCATGTGACTGAAAGGGAGGGGAAGGACGCACACGTCACTGACCTGCGCTTGGGCCGGTTTGGCCTCCCAGCCTGTTGGGCAGTGACTGTCGCCATTCCCTCCCCGTCCTGAGACACCGCTTTGTCCTCTCAGGGTGGTGATCTTCTGTGACCGCTGTGAGGAGTGGTTCCTGGGTGTTTCTGAGGCTCGAGGGCAGCCCTTGGAGAAGAACAGGGATCCAGCACAAGGGGACTGCAGAAGCCACCGATGACCAGGAGCCTGGGCGCAGACCCAGAGGTGCTGACGACATAGAACGCAGGAGCAGCGGGCCAGGCACGCAGAGTGCCTGTGCCAAGCAGGGGAGCCAGGGCGGAAGTGAGGAGACTTCAAGCTGCAGCGGTGAGAAGCCCACAAGGACGGCCCTGCCTGTGAGTACCTGGCAGCCCTGGGAGTGCGCAGGGGTGGCCCTGCCCATGGCCGACTGGCGGTGAACAGAAAGCCAGAGCCCAGAGGGGTCCTCCCTCTGCCAGAGGCAGCTTTGCTGGCCGTACAAGGCCTGTGGCCTAGGGTGGCCCACAAGGAAGTGTCCTTCACTCAGATTCCTGCTCAGTGCCACGGGCCCAAAAGAGCCCTTAGGACAAACACTTCCTGACCTCCTATGAATGTTGCTGCGTTTTCCTGCAGGACTCAGACTTGACTGCGGGGCTCAGCACTGAGCACTGAGCACTGAGCCCACCCCAGGCCGGTCTGTGCCCAGGCTCTTCTCGAGCTCATGCCCTTCCTGTTTCAGCCTCCCAGAGTTCTGGGGTGACACGTGTGGTCTCCCATGGCTTACTCTGCCAGTTACTATGCCAACACCTGCCCCTCTGCCTGGGTTTGAGGTCCTGTGTGTTTTGCATGTGTTCCTTGGCTCAGTGCCTCTTTTCCCTGCCAGGGGTCACTGCCTTCATGCCCTTTCCCTCCTGGCCATGGCTGTCACATCTGCCACCCTCAGCAATGCTGGTGAGAGCTACCCGCCACTGCGGTATCTCTGGTCCAGTTGTGTGACAGCCGACTCAGCGCAGTTCGCCTCGGCCGTCCCAGGCTCCTGGCTGCCCGCCTGTTCTTTTGCAGGCACAGAGACAGTGAGGTAGGGGGCGCCATGTCTCTGAGCCTCTCTGCCCTGCCACGCTCGCCGTGTGTGTGCCGCACACTGAGGCTGCAAGGTCCTGGCCACTGCAAACCAGAAGGGAGGACATGTTAAGAGCAACTGCCTGAAAACGTGGTGTCCACTGGTAATGCTCGTTTACTAAGGGAGGATCCCCAGTTTCCTGTCTTCAGCATTGTAGTTTGACCTGCCCCACGTTAGCCGATGTTTCACGGAGACTTGGCTTTGGTGCAGAACCCTGTGTCCCGCTGATGTGATGTTCCCTGGGGAAGCGTGAGGGGCGCCTGGTGGCTGTGTGGCCTGGACCTTCAGACAAGTTTTAGGGTTGGTCAGCAGGCATGGGCAGGCGTGCTGCTCCTTGTGGGCCAGTGCTCTGTGAGGAGTCACAGCTGGAGGCCACACACCGAGGCCCCATGCCCCAGCTCAGAGCCTGGACCGCAAAGCTGGCCCAAGACTTCATGGGGCGCCACTGGGGCTGGGGACTCGGCTGGGAGGTGTCCCTCCTGGAGCCCTCGCCTGTGCACAGCATGCGTCCCTGCCGCCTTGGTGACGGTGGTACTGAGGAGTCATCACTGGTTTTCTGGAGTCCCTGTGGGCACCTGCGTTTTAATTGTCATCCCTGCGCTCCTGTCTTAACCACATCAGCCCCACCTTCTGCCAGGGCCTCTTACGTCCCTCCAGGCCCAGGGCCTCCTGTCAGACTTTCACCTGGTTAAGCCTCAACTTTGTGACTCCAAATTGTCTCACCGGAGCCACCATTTGGTCTTGGGGACCCAGCTGTGGGCTGCAGCATTCGCACAAGGGGCTCAGAAAGAACACTCTAACGGTGCAGCGCAGGAAGTTTGTTTAAAAACTACACCCACGTTGGAGCTGTTGGAGCTGAATACACCTGCAGGGCTGTGGCGTGGCCTGGGCGTGGCCACACTGAGGCTGAGGAGACACCTTGGGGGGCAAGATGGGCCACAGCCGAGACCACCTGGAGGCTCTCTCCTGGGATGGTTCTTCCTGAGTGGTATAATCTGTTGCTTGGAGGGCCCATGGGCCCCGCCCAGGTTCCTGCTCAGGTTTCCTGCATTTTCCACTCTAGCCCCTTCCTCGTTTGAATATTAGGGAAATATGGGCTGCCCAGAGACATTCCCTGTCTTGGCCCACAGTCTTGAGCTCTGCGTGGTCTGGACCTTCAGAGGTCTACAGAGGGTTTTGGTCCTCCTGGAGCCTTAAAATCACACATCTGTCTCATTCACCTGGGCCTCCCTCCGCGTGCTGGGATACAGGTGTGTGCTGCCCCGCCTGGCTCCCTCTCCTCATATTTTGCCTTTTGTTTTTGAAGTTGATCCAGAGTTGGTTCTGTGATCTCATGACGCAGCATAGGCCATTACCTAGGTAACAGCCCGTCAAGGGAACTGTTCTGGATCACCATCAGCCCGAGGCAGATATGTGTCCTGGGTCTCATCCCTGCTCGTGGTCCTTCCTCACAGTGTTTCCCAAAGAGTTGTATGAGCCTCACTGCTAGCACTCCGGTGGGGTGCGGGCCTGAGTGTCCCGCTGCGCGCAGGGCCAGGCTCTGGAGAGTGTCTGTATCATGTGCAGCAAACCCAGGTCTCCAAGGCCAGATCCAGATGCAGATTCACCACTGCGTGACATCAGCGTGTCACAGCCCTGCACAGAGCCCCAGCTTCCTGCAGGTAAAGTCACTGCTGCTCTGGCGTGCTCGGGGCAGTTAGTCCTCTTCAGAGGCCTTTGGTACAACTCTTAGGAATCCACCAAGCTTGGGACTTGTGGGTTTCACACACTGCACACCGCAGGAGTGGGCAGTTCAGTCTGGACAGTGTTTTGCTGCTGCCCACAGATGCCACAGTGAACGTCCTTGCTGAAGGGCGAGCCACAGTCTGGCGCTAGGGGTCCAGGGCCCCAGTTCCTCTGCAGTGCTCAGGCTGGGACCCCAGCCCAGGTTTGCTGTGGTGAAATGAAAAGCCCTCAGGCTAGTGTGCAAATCCCCAGATTAGATCACACAGCTTGGATCTGTCCTTGTTTCTCGGTCTCCTGGTCTGACGTTAAAGCCTAGACTTTTCTTTTTGAGACAGGATCTTGCTGTGTAGTTCGGTTTGGCCTTGAACTTACCATGTAGTCCAGGCCGGTTTCCAGCTCACAGTGATCCTCCTGCCTCAGCCTCAAGTGCTGGAACTTACAGGTGTGTGCCCCCACACCTGTACATGCTGATATCTGAGTTGGAACCCTCAGGACACATCTTCCCTGCTGGGAACGGGTTTGCAGGTCAGGTTCGCAGATGCTCTCACCTCTGTAGCACTCTCTGTCCCTTCATCATGCACCAGCAGGTTGGGCGCCCTGATTCCAGAGTGCAGATAGTGTTGTACTGCCCTCTTGCTCAGCCTGCAGCACAGCACTTAGGGGAGGCACTGAGGCAGGTGGGTGCCGGGGTCAACTGAGACCCCAAAAGGCCCAAGATGGGAAACAGGATCACAGGTAAATTCAGGGAATCAGCTGCTGCATCCTCATACACTGTAGGTGGGCTGAGAGGTGAATTTTATGTCATCGGATGCCCTTTCTCAAAGATCCACCAGGACTGGCAGCTCTGCCACAGCTCTTCTACAGAGGGACAGTACTCAGAGAAATGTGTGGGCACAGGGCAGCTGCTGCACACCACTGCGCCAAAGCGTGTCCTGCAGCGTCCGTACCACAGTGCAGGAAAGCAACAGAGGGTTTGATGCGGCCAAGCCAGCGGGGTGTTTGGCTTCCACCCAGCTCACCCCTATCTGTGCATCCAGGGTAGAAAGACCACCCCTGAGCTCCAGGGGGTGCTGAGGAGACCCGGTGTACTGACAGAGGGAACACAGTGGGCGTGGGGAGGGCGGGGTCCGCAGTTATAGCTGCTGTGTCCTGTGTCACTCGAAGGGAACTGAGGGATAGGAGGAGCTCAGGGGACCATCTGGGATGCCTGTTTCTGTGCACAGAGGCGGCAGGTCCAGCTCTGCTCTTCCTACCTTTTCTGCTCAGCAGCTGTGCTGTGAGAACACACAGCACCAATTCAAAACTGATGGACACCCAGACTACAGCACGCAAAAGGGACACACTTGGAGCTTCATCCAAAGGGCAGAGATGCCCCCTTGCCCCATTTCCTCACCTTGGGATGGCAGGGCACATCCCATCAGCCTCAAGGAAAGGCAGGACAGAAACTCGAGGCCTTGTCCCTGCCCTCCCAGCTGCCCACAGGCTTACATCTGCTGGCCAGGGTGGGTGGCAAGGTGCAAGGGAAGCTGAGGCCTGCGGTCCTTTCCTCCTCTGACTCCTCCCCTGCTTCTGGACCTCTCTGTCCACCTCTCTGAGGGCAATAAGGTGCTGCTAAGTTGGAGAGGGAATCTCAGGCCTTGCGCCAGGGTCTTCTCCTCCTCTCCCTCCCACAGAGGGCACATAGGGTTCAGGACTGGAAGCCAGCAGACATCATGGCCCCTTCCTCCCCTTCTGCCCTGCTTCATGTCTCCCCTCAGCACTCCTGCATGTCCTCCTCTCTGCACTCCTGCATGTCCTCCTCTCGGCCCGCCAGCATATCCTCCCCTCTGCCCTATGCATGTCCTCCTCGGACCTGCATGTCCTCTTCTCTGCCCTCCTGCATGGCCTCCTCGCTGCCCTCCTGCATGTCCTCCCCTCTGCCCTCCTGCGTGACCTTTTCTGTGCCCTCTTGGACGTCATGTTCCCTGCCCTGCATATCCTCCCCTTGCCCTCCTGCATATCGTGCACTCTGTCCCCCTACATATCGTCCGTTGTGCCTTCCTTGAATGTCCTCCTCTCTGCCCTCCTGCATGTCCTCCCCTCTGCCCTCCTGCATGTCCTCCTCTCTGCCCTCCTGCATATCCTCCCCTCTGCCCTTCTGCATGTCCTCCCCTCGGCCCTCCTGCATATCCTCCCCTCTGTCCTCCTGCATGTCCTCCCTTCTGCCCTCCTGCATGTCCTCCCCTCTGCCCTCCTGCATGTCCTCCCCTCTGCCCTCCTGCATATCCTCCCCTCTGTCCTCCTGCATGTCCTCCCTCTGCCCTCCTGCATGTCCTCCCCTGTGCCCTCCTGCATATCCTCCCTTCTGCCCTCCTGCATATCTTCCCCTCTGCCCTGCATATCTTCCCCTCTGCCCTGCATATCCTCCCTTCTGCCCTCCTGCATATCCTCCCCTCTGTCCTCCTGCATGTCCTCCCCTCTGCCCTCCTGCATATCTTCCCCTCTGTCCTCGTGCATGTCCTCCCCTGTGCCTTCCTGCATATCCTCCCTTCT